TAAATGGCTCATGGCAAATTTTGTTTTAATTAGCTGTGAAGTTAATCAGTTGTAGATGTTCATCCAATTATTTTCTTCGGAATTTCATTAAAATCCATCATACATCAGATATTTTGCTAATATAAAAGGTTGATTCCAATAGTTTATAGAAAGTTTAAGGCAAAATAGTCCCTCATCGCGGTGGATTCGTTCCAGACACCCTCCGCATTACGTGAAAATCTGCAAAGTATGGACGCTATATTTATTTTAGTATTTATGCTTGAAGGCTTTATAAACCCTTCCCACACTCTTGTAATGTTCTTAATGTTCTAAACTCTCTAAATTCTCTAAAAGAGCAGAGCAAAGGAGAGCAGATGCTACGGTTATGGAGCCAATCCTGGCGGCAGACTGGCCATGGGGAGCACCGGGACTTTTCCAGGTGGCCTGGCCCGCTCAGTGATCGTCGAGGGGGACTAAAAGCTCTGTTTGGGTCGTGCTCGATTATTTTAAATAAACAATTCATGCTCATGCGGTTCACTTAGGTATAAGACAGAAAGGAAGGGGGTGTGGGGGTCTTTTTCCTAGGCGGTCTGTCACAGTTGTGACACAGCCTCAGAAAGAGAAAGGGGGGGGGGGGGGGGGGGCTGTCCTATACCCGAGTGAGCCACACTATCTCTTTTTAAAACTGATTCACTCTTATTTTTCCACCCAAGTATTTTCTCCAATATTCTACATTTGTTCATCTGATCTGTTCATCTCTGCTCCCTGAGCAGTAGCAAGGGGAAAGACAGACCCCACTTCCTGCCCCTCCTTTCTCTTTCTGGGGCTGTCTGTCAACAGAAACGAAGGGGCGGGATGGAGTCTCTTTCATCATCGCCAATCATGTGACGTGTACAAGCTTACGTTGAAAACCTGTGAAAGAGGGAGTCCGCGAGAGTCGAAGGGACTACAGTATTGTGCACGAGTTCCACATGTTGTGGAGCTCATAGTATGTGTAGGGGATGAGGCTAAGCTACCAATGAAACACATTTTAGCTCAATATTTGTAAAATTAACAAAGGTATAGCCCATTTTGTGTTTCATAAAATCAGCCGGTTTTGGCAGCCATCGTGAACTGGGGTGATGAGGTGCACTTCAAATGATACTATACATTGAGGTTCATTAAAATTTGTTCAGTGGTTGATTATCGGTAGATATTTTGTTACGGACAGAACTGACTCAAATAGTTAACAGCAAAGTCTTAAAAACAGATCTCTGATTAATGCCATTAGTTGGTGCTCAGAAAAAGTGGGAACGACCTTCAACTACAACCACACCAAATGTTATCTCAATATCTAAAAAAAAACAAAAGAAACACCCTATTGATAGCTATTTTTGTGTTTTCGAAGGTTGATTAGCTGTGGTGGCCATTTTGAATGGGGTTGACTTAAAAAAGATTATTGAGTTCCAGCTGTATTCTTGAGATAATTTACTAATGCTAATGATTTGCTAATGCTAATTAAATAAACACACGCACAAAGAAAAAAAAGATCAGTTTTCAACTTTGACAATGGACAAACATCAAGAATAAAAATCTAGACTAAGTTACAGAGTTTTATTTTTCGCAACGAAGTCACAACATTCAGAATCCGTTCAACTCCCCACTAGTTACCGTTTTATTATTACAAAATCTCTAGACTACCTAGTACATAACAGTACTAGTATATGTTTCTGGAGTTCTTAAGGAAACAAAAGGCCAAATGGCAGCATTGGTCAATCTAACAGTAAAATAGAAATTACAAATATATATTTATATATCCATCTATTTTAAGGAAGTAAGAAAAACATTGTACAATATTCACTCTCAAACTGGTATAGCAAGTACAAATACACAAAGAGGTCATGACTGATGGTTATTTTTACCAGCAAGAGAAGTGTCCTCTTTGAAAAAGACACTTTTACAAAACCCAAATGCAGTAAACAAATAGCAGCCAAGGAAAGGACGCCGTTCTTTTACAGGAAAAATTAAAAAAATTCAAGTTATTTAGATTTTGGTTTGCACTGTACATACACAGGTCTTGCAAAACTTTTGTACTCTCAAATGCATAAATGTGCTTCAGTGCAAACTGAGAGAAAAACTTAAACACAATGCCTTTAAAATGTATATATATTTTTCAAACAAAGTTCAAGGAGTTATTTTAAATGCATCGTTCTGCTGTATGTTTTTAGGTGCATGGGTTCTGTTTGTATTACTGAGGGTCCCGTGTGCATGTATGATTGTTTGGTCCATTCAGTTGTATAAGGTTAATTTAAAAAAAAAAAAGGCAGAGAACAAATTTCAAGGCACATTTAGTCACATAAGGCTGTTCTGTCATTTCCTGCTATTTATGAGAACGCTAGTGTTCCATGCTCTGAATGTAGACGAGCTAAAATCAAAGTATCGTTGACTAAAGGTTCACTTCAGTTTTGTGGGAGTTTAGCGGTGAACATGTACAACCCTTTTAAATCCATTTTGAGAAATGTGAAGTAGAACAGCTTCACAGAGCATCAGCAGAGAGAAGAGGCTGGATTACGTTAATCTGAAGCCATCGAATCTTCTGGAAAACAGCTTTGGCTTTCAAAATCCCGAGGTCAGAAGTATGAAGATGTGTACAAATGTATATATTAGAGATGCAACAATTTTCTTGGATGTTCCAATACTCAACATGTTGTATATCTAACCTGCCAATATGAATTTTAGCCAATTTCTCTTTGGGAACTATAATTTTTTACTTTTTTCAATTTTTCTGGCTGAAAACTTTACGTAGCATTTTGTGTCCATTTTGGAAGATCTACAAATATAAATAATAATCCTCCAGATTTTTGGACAGCTGAAATAAACTCAGTATTCCTTTATAAATCCTATACTAGCTCATCAACTTCCTTTGCACATCGCTAAACTTAAAGTGCACCAACCAAATGGCACGAGTTAGAGCGGCACCATAGAGGAAAACTAAAGCCTGAGTGATTATCTCTATAGAGAAACTGTTTAGTTGCTTCTTAAACCCATTTAGCTTCCTCCAACTTAAATACTTCAATTTTTAAATTGAGGTTCTGCGGAAAGGTTGTAAATATCTTACCAGTTGTAGATAACACTTCGATCTTCAATTTACAAAAAATGGTTCAGTATTATCACTTGAATTTTTTTTAGGTAATTTTAAGACCACAGCAATAAACTTTGGTCTCAGTAATGCTCCGACTAGTCGTTAGTTCATCAGTCCTGTCAGATTTTAACTAATTCTCCAAATTGAGGTTGTTCAAAAAGGGAAGATATTGATCCAACAAAGTTCAGTCAGGTCATCTGGACAGTTTCCTTTCTTTTTTTTTTTTGGTTTCTGTTGAGACGTTTCGTTCTTCATCCAAAGGACTTCATCAATGCGAGGAGCCACAAACAAACTGAGTCCCACAAGCAGCACTCCCATAGTGGACCAACCAGTTTGCTGGTGATGAGATAGTTTCTGGGACCCACCCTCTCTCCTGTCGACTCCTCCGAGGAGCCAAAGTACTGAGGTTTTTTTTTCTTAGACTGGCTTTGGCTGCCTCAGAGGAGTCGATGGAGGAGAGGGCGGGCCACAGAAACCATCTCATCACCAGCAAACTGTTTGGTCCACTATGAGAGTGTGCTGCTTGTGGGACTCAGTTTGTTTGTGGCTCCTCGGACTGATGAAGTCCTTTGGATGAAGGACAAATATCTTAAAAAAAACAAAAAAACATCCAGATGACCTGACTGAACTTCATTGTTGTTGTTTTTTTACCTGGATTATTGAGCATGAACTTTGAAGATATTAATCATTTGTAACATTTCTACAGAACTCCAATTCAAAAGATTTAAACTATTAAAAACATGTATAAGAAGCTAGTTGGTAACTCTAAAAAGAGTCACTAGAAAAAGTCAAGAAGTGAGAGCGTGAATGATTGTCATGGGTCTTCATGTGTCCCTGCGATGGACTTGCGATGTGTCCACGGCGTACCCCGCCTCACGCACAACGACTGGTGGGCATTAGTGACCTCCGCGATCAGAAAGGAAGAAGCGAGTAACGATAATGGATGAACCATCTTTTGAGTTTAATCTTTTAGATACTACAAATAGCTATTTTTAGATCATCTTCTCTTGCTAAAACTCTTTACACTAAAGATACTGTTGTTAGGACAAGTTGGCCAGTTAGTGATGGAGTGTTTACAGACCAAAAGAGAGGAGGGAAAAAAAAAAAAAGACTAGATTTAGAGTGACCCCTCACCCATCAAACTTAAAACTGATTGATTCCAGTCGTAACAAATTAATTGGTGCATCGCTAATACACATTCCTTTTTTCAAACGTTCTAGTTTCCAATCATTTTGCAAAGCTAAAGCAGTCGGTTGCTCATGAACTTAAACTAAGCTTAGAACATTGTCCAACCTAAATCTTGGCAAGAAAAAAAAAAAACACCCCTTAAATATCAAACTACCATTGTAGTCACAGTTTGTGGAAATAAATCGTGACCAATGGGTGAGATTCAAATGTCTGAAGGCAACTTTTTTCCCTATCTTACAACAGGTGTTACATTCATTTAGAATTTGTAAAGAAAACAACTAGATTATTTTAAAAAATCCATTAGTCTCAGTCAGCTGATAGAAATGAAGACTGAGAAGATAAGACGGCTGTTACTTTGATCTAGCAGCTGCCGTAACACCCCCCAACATGTCTGCTGTGATATAAAGACAACATTCGTTTGCTGCAATACAAAAGGCCATTTAGAGTTTCAAAATGTGTTCAAAAGATCTGAAAAACAGCAGAAAGGCGTCTTTCATCTCTTGAGATAAATAACTATAAGAAAAACAAAAACTTTTTTTTCCTGTGCATTTTGTTAGAAAATTTAGTTTTGAAAGTTTGAAAAGCGATGACGGTGCAGAAAAAAAAGGCAAAGGAGGTTTCTGTAGTTTTTGTAGCATCCAACACTTCATGTCAAACTGAGCCAACTTTGTCTCAAAAAAAAAAAATAATAATAATAATAATAAAGGAGTGTTTAGTGGTTTTCCAGCCAAGAGGGACTGTCCACACCTGGCGTTTTCAACTTGATGTGGAACTGCTTGAGTGTCTGTTCCAACTGCTGCTGGTTCCCAGCATAATACGCAGCTATGGCGTTGTGGAACAGGATGAGCTGGTTATGCAACACCTTCACCTGTTAGGAGCAAAGTAAAATACGAATACCACACTGTTTCAGAGAGGATAAAAGAAAAATGAATAAATCTATGATGTACAACGAAGAACGAGCGGTTGAACGACCTTGTTCTCCTCCAGGAACTTCAGCTTTACTGACACATCATTTCTCATCCGTTCGTACTTCTCACGGTGGACCTGGAACTGCTGCTCGGACTGCTGGATCTTCGGCATGCTGTTTTCATCACGTGGCCCCAGATTCAGCTCCTCCAAGTCAGTACGGTATGCATCATACTCCACCCTGGAATTGATTTAGTGTTCAGTTATATCATATAAATTAGTGTGTGCGCGTGCGTGTAGGCACTTTGTTATGTGTTGGAACAGACACAGTGATGTATCAAATAGAAAAAAACTACAACATCAGAAGTATAATTATTTGAATATTTTGCTTACAACATCAGAAAATGTAAATATGTTAAACATGAAAAACAAACACAGATAAGATTTGAAAACCTAATTGTTAATTAAAAAATATTCATGTTTAACAACAATGTAGTTGACTCAAGATATTAAGTATTGGTAGTTTCTAACGTAGAAAAATTGCAAATTTGTGTATGCTTATTTCTGAAGAACTTGCAGAAAAACAGCTGAAATGAGCTAAAAACATGCTGAAATGCACCTGAAATGGAAGAACTAGCCTAAATTAGCAGAAGAAAGCAGAAAGAACACATATTTGCTGAATTAGGTTTAAATAAGCAGAAATGAGCATAAAAATTAGGAAATCAGCTAAAAAAGGCTGAAATAAAAAAAAAATTGCTGAAAGTTGCTGAAAATGTAGACAGATACTTTAACTGCCAGAAAGAAAGGAGCTGAAATTTGCTAAAAAATGTGGAATTAGTTGAAAAAGCTAAAATTAGCATAAACAGCTAAACAGTAGCTGAAATAACTGAAACTAGCAAAAATAAGATGAAAGGAGCATAAGTTGAAATTAGTAGAAAGAAGTTATTAGGCTGAAAGATGCAGAAATGAGCATAAAAAAGTGAAAATTATTTGAAAACAGCTTAATTAGTTTAAAAATGCTAAAAAGCTAACTGGAAAAAGTAAAACAAGCTTAAATTGGTGGAAGAAAGCAGAAAAAATGTGTTTGCCCCATTACGCTGAAAGAAGCAGAAATTAGCACAAAAAAGTGGAAATTATCTGGAAAAAAAACGAGATGGGCAAAAAAAGCTTAAAAGTAGCTTAAAACGCAAAAAAAAGCCTAAATTACTAGAAGGAAGTGGAGAGCACATTTTTGCTGAATTAGGCTAAAATAAGTTTAAATGAGTGCAAAAATGTGGAATTAGCTGAAAAAAAGCTAAAATTTGCATAAAACAGCTAAATAGTGGCTGAAATAGTAGAAAAAGCTGAAACTTGCAGAAAGAATCTGAAAGGAGCATAAAAAGCTGAAATTACCAGAAAGAAGTTAGAAGCACGAAAATGTTGAAGTTAGTAGAAAGAATCTGAAAGGAGCATAAAACAGCTGAAAAAAAATCAGCTGAAATTAGCTGAAAATATATCTGAAAAAATGTTGAAGTTTGCACAACGAATCCGAAAGAAGCCGAACCATAACAAAATGTGAAAGGAGCAGTAAAAGGTTGTAAACAGATCTAAAGATTTGAAGGATGTAAAATGAGCTCAATTCATTTTCTATGAGAAAAAAATGGCAGAAAAGGCTAAATATTCAAAAAATCTAAAGTTGCACCAATACCAAAAGTCAAAGCAGGATTGTCCTGAAAGAGCTGAACGTTTTGATATATTTCTTGAAGTAGTTTGAAAACTGCGGGACGAGAATCGTGCCAAAAGATGTACGGAAGAAAAAATGGATCACAATAGTGTGAATGCTTCATAAACATTCACACAATAAAAGATTCCTTTTGTAGTCACGTTCATTTTAACCTTGGCATAAATTATGGATTTAGTAAACACTACCTTGCAGCTTCATACTGTTTAATGTTAAGCATGGTGTCTTCGATGGTTTTGTCCACAAGCGTGTCAACACTAGAGATGAAGAAGTTGATGGCAGCCAGCAGGGTCTCTCCATTTTTGGACAAAAGTTTTTGGGTCTCGGCGTTGTAACCAAACTCCTCCTGAAGAAAACAATTATTGAAAGTGAATCGTATAGTGAAAACAGAATTTATCAAACTTTTTAAGTTTAAAACTTTTACACAGAGTGATGATACTTTAGTATTACAACCAGTGCACTGAGTGTATGAGTTTTCCATTAAGACCAGTGAAGGTTATCATTTCAAAGTCATCCTGATTTAAACTAAACCTCGTAATTCAATCATGTGTTTATGTTGCAACTGCTGGCGACCAGACGGCAAACGGCATTTGTGAGGGAGTTTTAAAAGGTCTAAAAACATTTGCGAGGGTTCTCAAAATCATTGTATGAGCTGCAGAATTTATTTTATTTTGTCAAAATAGTCATTTCTGGCTTCTCAAACCCTTCTTAATTTCGTTTCAGGCATCTCCAACTTGTCGAGTTGAAGAATAGCTACATTTTGACACCTGCACAGGGGTGGTGCAGGCTGCACAGAAGTCTGATGGAGTCAGCCTCCCCACCATCAGACATCTACACCTCCAGATGCAGGAAGAGAGCCGCCTGCGTCATGAAGGACCCCACTCACCCAGCGCACACACTTTTTGCCCCGCTCCCCTCAGGCAGGAAGTTGAAGAGCATTAAGTGGAGCTAGAGGTGTGGAACTCTGTTACCAAAAGGAGCCAAATTTTAAAAACTATGTCCGAGCCACTTTCAGCTGATACGTTAACTCGAGTCAGATACCAGATATCTTTTCTTGGTTGCAGGTTCATCAACAAGAGTTTGATCTGTCTCATTTGACAATCTGTTGCTCTTTCCACATCAGAATCAATAATGACAATGATCCAACCGTCTTTCTGGCTTCAACATTAGCCAGCTGGCAAGAGAAGTCTATACTAAATGATGTATTCATCAGGGTTTTTTAAAGAAAAAATGAGAAGAGATACAATATTTTACATTTAAATGATCATCTTGGGGGAACCAGATTTGGCCCGCAGTCCTTGAGTTTGACATATTGGAGCTTTGACACTTTACCTGTGCTGCTGATTTCTTACCCATAAGCTGCTATATTCATACCACCTGCTAACAACAGGCTCATGTTCAGTTTTGTTGTTTTAGTTTAGCACATACCTTAGATCCTTGTATAGTTTTTTAATATACTTTATATTATTGCTATTTTTGGGTGCAACTGGGACCTTGAGTACACAATTTCATACCACCTCATGCACCACATGTGATGCAAATAACAAAAAGTCACATTGAACCTTGAATCTGACAAACAAACAAAACAAACAGAGGAAACAGCCCTACAAGTTCATGTCTAAAGCCTACACAGATGATGAGTTTAAAACGGGTCCAAATCAAACTTCATTTCAAACGTTTACTCAAGTGGCGGCAGCTGCTAAAATGCATACAAAGCTGGGCGAGACAGATATGTGACAAATGTGGGCAAAAAATGTGCACAGCTTTTGAAGCTGCTCACATGAAGATATGCTACGATTTTCAACAACTTGCTGCTCAAAACAGACACACACACATTCAATTCATTCAGACTGAAATTAAATATTCACCCATTTTCCAGCAATTCTGAGTCACAGCCCAGTAAGATCCCTTAAAGTTCACCGGAATTTTGCTCAGTAGATTTTAACTTATTTTTGACAAGAGAAAAAAAAATTGTAATAGAGGTCAAATTAAATATCACAATAACACTGTATTGTTTTGCTTTGTATCACAGAAAACCTAATCAGCTTCACTGGTCCTGAAACTTTAGACTCACGTGGAGTTCTGGCGACTTCAGACTGAGGTCGGCGAAGGCATCACCCAGCTGCCTCTGAGTCTGCATTATCAGAGACAGCTGATTGGCCAGCGTTTGAGCCAACTTGATCACACTTTGGTACTTCCTCTTGTTCTCACGGAGCTGTTCAATTTGTGCCTCCAGCTCTGGGTCAACGGTCCTCGAGCCCCGGCCCAGCTTCTCGGACAGGATCTGTCTGGTACACTGCGGAGGACAGCAGGCTTACAAACACATGTACACTCTCACTGGTTAGAATTTAAATAAGAATATTAACTGATGGGGGTTTTGACTGTGGTGAGTAATGGAAAAGAAGCAACATGAGGGAACAAAGTGAAGACAAAAGAAAAAAGTTATAACCAAAAAAACAACACATTTGTTGTTGTGTAAGTAAAAGAAGAAAGAGGAATAATAAAACTGAGGGAAGAAGACGAAGGTAGAGGGCCAATATAAAAAAATAAAATAATTAAATCAAGGACAGCAGGTTTACTTTATACGTGTTGATGCTCCACTTTCTCACAAGGTCCAGTTTTTCCATGGCTGGGTTCTTTAAGTCATCAGAAAGGACCACTGCTCCGCTCGCTGGCTGAGCTTTAACTGTTCCTGCACAAATAAAGGTTATTCCGTCAGCAAGTGATTGAATTATTAAAGAGTGTGGAAAAAAATATAGTCTCAAAGTACAAATCAGTAATATTTTTTAAACTGTGATAACTGTCAGCACAAGACACTAACATTTAAAATAGGATGATATTCAGAATTTTTAAACCAAATAAAACTTTTACAAAGTGGATAGTCAAAGTCAGGGGATTATTACACATTTGTTTATACAGGTTAGTTCCCATTGAGCCTCGAAGACATTTACAAGAGAGACCTGTTACGATGATGACAGGTGTATTTTAATTTAAAGTAGGAGAATGTTAAAAGGCATGCTTTAACAGAGTTTAAAAGATCACCTTACACTATTTAATGGAGCGGCAATAATTGATATCTTCACTTTTTTCCATAAATATATTCAATACAAATTTGAAAAATGTGTTTATGTAAAACATGCTTAAATTAATTAATTCTATGAAGGAATAAATGGCCAATTTAATTGTTTATGGAGCTTTTTAATGAATATCATTCTACTGTTTACCTGTCCAGGTTCATAACTTTTTCTGTTTATGGTCAATTTTTGTTGCTTTCAAAGCAAGCAGGTTCCCTTTTTAATCAACTACTAAGAGCCATGGATGTTTTAGTACATTTTCTTTTCATAAGCAAATGGTGCAAACAGCAGAGCATTTTGTCTGCAGTAGGCCTGTCGCCATAAACAATAAATCGATTAATCGCATGATGAATGAAAATCAACAACCTCATTTTCATTTATCGGCTTTATCGTTTCTTCGTGTCTCTCTCTTTCTAGTGAAGACAATGGATGACAAAAAGTTAAACTCCGGTGCTCTTCACGGACCCCTCTTTTTCTCTTTAAAATCCATTTTAACCGTCCAAAATCGCGTTTTTGGATCGTTAAAAGCAGCCAAACTGAGAAGCTAAGCTATGAGCTAAGCTAACAGGCAGACATCGGGAAAAAACCTCTGTCTTGTCGAAGCTCCAAAATTCACAGTTGAAACCCGTGCCTTCGTCTAAAAAGTTGTTTTTCTCTGCAAAAAGAAGCTGAGAACTTCAAAGTCCATGCTCAATAATCCAGGTATACAATCCAACATTTTTCAGTCAGGTCATCTGGACAGTTTCTTTTTTTGTGCTGAAACGTTCCACTTTGGACTAAGCTGTTGGAGGAAGAATCAGTTTTGTATTGTGTGTTTCCTAGACTGATGAAGCCTTCCCGATCAAAGGCGACATGTTTCAGCACCAAAAAAAAGAAACTGTCCAGATGACCTGACAGAAAAATGTTGGATGCTGAGAACTGATTTATTATTAAAAGCTTTGTGAGAAAAATGCTATGCTAAAGAGCTCAAACCACGCCAAGTGTCCGCCATTTTGAGAACCAGAGAGACAGCCCATGTCACGTCAAGGGGCTTCCCTCCCATTTTTCTTAAAGAGACACGCTGCTCGCTCCCTCACCATCCATCCTTCGGTTCAAACAGTCTTATACTACCATCCAGTGGTCGAAAAAAGTTACTACACTCAAAATAACAAACATTTCTTCTTAAATTTGACAATAATTACAAATTATTGGGAGTACTGGAACATTTCCTGGTGCTCCAAACAGCCAGTAGCGATTGGTAAAGACAGACCCCCAACCCTGCCCCCTCCTTTCTCTTTCTGAAGCTGTCTGTCACAGCAGAGCAGAGACACGCACGCAACCTGCTATGTCTCCGCTCTGTCTCCACTCAGTTGTGACAGACAGCCCCAGAAAGAGAAAGGAGGGGGCGGGTGGGGTCTGTCTTTCCCCATTGCTACTGCTCAGGGAGCAGGGATGAACAGATCAGATGAGCAAATGTAGAATATTAGAGAAAATGCTAAGGTGGAAAAATAAGAGTAAATCAGTTTTTAAAAAAAGAGAGAAGCTGAGCAGGCCAGGCCACCAAGACATTTCCCGGTGCTTCCGATGGCCAGTAGCAATGGGGAAAGACAGACACCGTCCCGCCCCCTCCTTTCTCTTTCTGAGGCTGTCTGTCACAGAAGAGCAGAGACAAATTCATTCAACTTTTATTTAAACAGAAGTCACAGAGCCTCAAAGACTCACAGAACAGGTTGCGTGTGTCTCTCTGCTCTGCAGTGACAGACAGCCTCAGAAAGAGAAAGGAGAAGGCCCCTCGGCGATCCCTGCGTGGGCCAGGCCACCGGGAAATGTCCTATTGCTCCCAATGGCCAGTCCGCCCCTCAACACAATACTCTGGTTGGTCGCCTTCCAGTCAGCCAATTGTGTGTCGTGTATAATCTTTCATTGAAAACCCACGAAAGAGTGAGTCTACAAAAATCTAACCGTGAAATATCGAGGGACTACTGTACATCTGTCAGCCAATACTTGTACAAAACAAAGGTTTGGAGAACACACACAAAAAAAAGAGAGACCAAAAAAGATGCACGGTTATGATTGAGGCACAGCCTGTAGGTGCAAGAAGCAGATGATGAACACAAAAGCAAACAGTAGATCAATAGATTGTTGTTGACTTTGTGGTTTAGTGACGTCTGGTTCATACACCACCGCCCCAGGTACCTTTCTCAGCCTGACTATCGCTGGAGGAGCGTGCCAGGCAAAGAGCAACAGCGGAGCTGGGAGCTACGGGTGTCACAGGAGACGTGGGCACGCTGGCTGATCCTGGGAGATATTCAAAGCTATGATTTATTAGTACAGCAGCCTAATTCTATGAAAGTAAAAAAGGGGGACGTTCCCATTCGTGTAAACTCAACACGTGCATGTGTTTTTCCACTATTATAGTAGTTCTAATGTTCCAGGCTGAACATGTTAAAATTAAAGGCTTTCCTCAACCAGAGAGAACAACACGGAAAACAGCCATGGCAACACTGAAGTGAGCAGGCTGCAACAGCTCTCGGTTCTAATGGGAGATTTTTATTTGCATTTGGATGATGAAAGGGAAAGGGAGGGGTTCTAAACAGGAGATCAGAGGAAACTCATTAAAACCTAATGAACTTACACATGTACAAATTTAAATGTCTGTCTTTCACTGTTCAGAGATTAATACAAAAATAAAAAGCGGTACCTTTGTAAGGTCCTGATTCAATTATGCCCTCTACTTTTGGAGTGAAGTTGCTGGAGGTGACGCCAGAATCTGAGAGGTTTAGGGCTCCTGGGTTACTGGGGTAGGAGTCCTACAAAAGAGAAACATTGCGTAGAAACAGTCACATTGGAAAAAATAAATACACACACTCTTCCTCAGCTAAACACTCCACCTGTGTAAAAGGGATGCACCAGTTATAGTTTGATGAGGTTAAATTACCCCGGTGACTAAAATAACTCAGTTTCTGTAACAAACCTTTGAAATTTTCACAAATATTTGTGGCTGCAGCATCTTAACTGCCACGGCTCGAGTGTAAAGCAAACTGGACTGACAATAACTTCACTGCACACCCCTTTCTAGCATTTACAGAAATTAATTTTAAGTGGCACAGCTATGCTGGCATTTACAGTAATGGGTGCCCAGTTTCAGTCCTATAGGCTATAGGCTACCAGATCGCAGAGGTACAAGCTAAAAAAAAATAAGACCATGAAGGTTGGGAGGGACAGAGGAGATAAACGTGTGAATGCTTATTATGCTTATTATATTCACACTATTGTGATCCTGTTTATATTTATTATTATTATTATTATTATTATTATTATTATTATTATTATTATTATAACTACTTTATCTATTCTGTACGTTTTTTGGCATCTTTCTCGTTTCACATTTTTTGTGCCATTTCAAAAAAATCATAAAAATAAAAACCTTCAGCTCTTTCCTGCTATGACTTTTGGTATTGGTGCAACTTTAGCTTTTTGAAATATTTAGCCTTTTCTGCCACTTTTTGCCTCATAGAAAATGAATTGACCTCATTTTACATCCTTCAGATCTTTAGACCCGTTTTCAACCGTTTACTGCTCGTTTGACATTTTGGTCTGGTTCAGCTTCTTTCAGCTTCCTTCTGTAAATTAAAAACAGAATTCAGCTACTTTCAGCTAATTTCAGCTGTTTATTCAGCTGTTTTGTGTACCTTTCTGCTTTATTCTGCTAACTACAACATTTCCACGCTTCTAACTTCTTTCTGCTAATTTCAGTTTGTTATGCTCCTTTCAGCTTATTTCTGTAAGTTTAAGCTATTTCTGCTATTTCAGCTACCATTTGGCTGTTTTATGCTAATGTTGGCTTTTTCAGCTAACTCCACATTTTTTGCACTCATTTCAACCTTTTCCAGCCTAATTCAGCAAAAAATGCTCTCTCCACTTGCTTCCGACAATTTAAGCTTCTTTCAGCTTTTTCAGCTACTATTCAGCTGGTTTTTGTGTGCAAATTTCTACTTTTTCAGATAATTTCCACTTTTTTGTGCTAATTTCTGCTTCTTTCAACCTAACTGGGCACAATTGTGCTCTCTCCACTTCCTTCTGGTAATTAAGATTCTTTCTGGCGTTTCAGCTACTTTTCAGCTACTTCTTGCTAATTTCAGCGTTTTTAGCTAGTTTACTCATTTTTGTGCTCATTTCTGCTTATTTAAACCAAATTCAGAAAATATGTGTTCTTTCTGCTTTTATCTGCTTACTTAGGGTTGTTCTTCCATTTCACCTACATTTCAGCATGTTTTAGCTAATTTCAGCTGTTTTTCACCAAGTTCTTCAGCAATAAGCATGCACACTACATTTTAGCAGGAAATGCAGTTTCTCTACTTTATGTTCCAATTTGTCTTTATAATAACCAACATTTTGTCAATTAATTTCATATTCTAACTATGGTACATGTTCTGTGGACCTTTGTGAATTTTAATTGGAAGCCCTCTATAATAAACTCAGTTCAGAATACCAACTTTATGCAACAATTCTGCTGCAAATTTCTGTTTTAAGTTGATCTTGGGAGAGAAAAAAAAAACAATGAAATATATTTCAAATAAATGTCACCATCTTTCAACAGAAAGATATGGGAGAATATTACAAACAAATAGTAGGTTTAACTTTTCAATGACTTAAAAACCGTTTAGAGACATGTTCTCTAAAGCCTCTGATGAAGCCCTTACCCTCTGGAGTACTTTGTCCGGGCTCTGATCCAGGTCTCCATTGCTGGTGACTGGGATCTCAGCTGCTGAGCTTCTGTGGGAGTCTTCAGCCATTGTGCTTTCCTGCAGCAAGGAGGGCTAAATGAAGCAGGCAGAAAATTCAGGATGGATGTTTTGGGATAAAAAAGAGTAGTAGGCTGCCATCTTGTGGACACTTATGTAGTGACAAATATAGACCTAAAATTTGATTTTAACAATAAAACATTGTATTCAAAAGACAGCTATATTCAACACAAAACATTACGACAATATCAGATGTTCACCAGAATATAGCAGTTAATCATAATGTCTAAAAATGTCATTCAAACTGTTAATAACTACAAGCCGGTCTGTCCATCTTCACGCCTACATTTTTTTTTTTTTGTGTGTGTTTCTAGACTTGAGGAGCAGCTTTAAGAAAGTTACTTTGAACGATCTGAACGTTAACCAAGATTTTATGCAACAATTTTCATCGTACACATTATTTTACAACATAGTTTGTGTGTAATTACCAGAGTACCAAGAGAATGACAAATACTGGTTTTCATACAATAATTTTTTTCGTTGGAGTGCAGTGCACGTCACATTTGTGGGTAAAGAAGGTTTAAAGAAATTTGTTCCCGCATGAGTTTTACATATTGCGCAGCTCCATGGCAACTGCCTGAATAAACATGTGGTAGCCATTTAACTTGGGTGTTTCTTAGCAAGGCTTTAAGTTTACAATGACATGACGTCTTCTTGGCCCATACGTCATTTATTAACACTGGCCTTTTTTGTGATTGAGTTTGGAAACTATTAAAATGTTGAAACACACAAACCAAACCTCTTAACTCTACAACAACTGACTGAAAATGTATAGGAAAAAAATCCTGTTAAAACCTTTATAACAGCAAGTGAATTACTTAATATCCTATTTTGTTTAAAAAAAATACATTCAGAGCACAACCAAGCACATAAATTGTTTTGTTCTACAAGTTTTTTTAATGCATTGTCAGTGAGGTCCAACAGAGTATACCAAGTCATGTGGACTATTAAAACCTATCCATCTTATTCCAGGGGCCTCTACTGTATAAAAGATTATGGGTACAACTTCCTGTCAGACAGGAAGTAGCAGTTAGCATTGGCTAACCATGGTAGCAGAGCACGGACCGCGGTTCATTTGAAAGTGCATTCAGTTTAGCAGAAAAAAACACTGTTTTTGTTTTGTTCACATTTATTTAACAACCGTTAAGTTTACTAAAATAGCCGTGCAGAGTTCGGGTACCTGCTGTGTTCACGGCTGCACGAACAACCGGACAAAACTAAATCAGTGGCTACAACAACAGAGTTTTGAACACAAACCCAATACAAAAAAAAAATATTCCTGTGAAAAGCGGTATAGTTTCCATCTCCTACATACAGATGAGGAATTAAGACGAATGTGGCTGAAAAATGTGAACTTGAAGAGACCACCCAGAATGCTGTGTGTGAGCTCATTCTTTGTGGACAAACGGCCTACAGAGGAAATCCTACTTTGTGGCTGGACTACAATAAACCACCGGAGAAGAGACGCCGGATCCTCAGAAGGATTGAAAACAATGTGACGAGAATATCAGGTGTGATTTCAAGTTTATGGAGGTCACAGCATTATAGTATTTGTTGATCTTCAGTATTACGATTTTCTCTGCAATTAACCCAAACTCAAGACTTTGGTTGGGCTCTGTATGCTTTAATGTAAATAAGATTGTTTCCCACCTCTTTTAACAAAACGTGACTTGACTTTATTACTGTGTAGATACTAATACACCTCAGAGCTTTTTAGGTTGTTCATCGCTTCACTGTTTGAAGAAACCAAGTTAATGTAGCTAAATATGCTAGTAGATGTAATCTGCAACTGCTTCTTCAGGTCGTCGTCCATCCCTCATCTGCAGCAAGAAGCGGTATGATTAATCCAAATAATCGTTTGTATTTTGTTTGGAGAAGGATAGTTGTTACAGAAGTTGACCCTGTCTTGGATTTAATAAATACTGACAGTCAATCTGAAACCCTTACAGTTGCATCGTTGTTTTCAGCATTGGATTTTACCTGTTAACACAATTTCCAGGTTTTTCTGACTTCCTTTTCTGACCTTACTCGTACCTCAAGTTGCCTTTTTGGACATGCATGCACAAATCGTACTTGCCTGTAGAGAGCAGTTTACTACAGCCTCATATAAAATCAATAACGATGATGATATTGGAACGATATTGGAATAGTATCTGTATCGACAAATATCCAGATTTAGGTATCGGGACAGGACAGGAAGTGAAAAAATGTGGATCGGTGCATCATGTTTAAATTAAATCCATAATGTTTGGAGAAACTACATTAGCTCGTACTGTTCGAACATAAACAAGCGCCGGTTCTTGTTCGCGCCAGAAGCCGCGCCCATAATTTGTGCAAGGCAGCACGGGGGCTAGGAGGAATAAGGTGGATATGCTCAAAAAGTCCTGTGGGGTGTCCATCAAAAGCTCAAGAAAACCAAATATGAAGAATGTGTTGAAGACTTGCAAGATGGAACACGTGGAAGAATCGACACCACTTCAGGCTAAATAATCTAATATAATGAACGAGGTGAAAAAAATTCACCACACTGGCACAAACCTCTTTCTTGTTGGAATATTGCTCAGCAGATAACCAGGTGTGATCACATGTGGAGCTGCCTCCATTTTGTTTAGTTTTGCTCCATTGTCTGTACCTGCTTCGTCAGTGAATGATAAAAATAGTTCCCATCAGCTGAACTGCACAAATGTCAGCTTTACCGCCGTTTCACTGGCAACCGCACGGCACTTGTGTATGAAGTGAATGTGTGTGGAAAATGGCGAGTTCACTGCTGAACATCTGCATGCTGGCTCTCAGCATGACATGAGGTGGAGACAGACTGTGGCTGCACAAGTTTCATATTATGCTGCGATAAACTGGTTGCCTGTAGCTGGAGGATGATGACAGGGTTGTGCTGGTTCCAGAGTAATTTTATGACTTAATCACTGTGGACCTTGAAACTGGGACATTGACCTAATCTGTGTGCTACTTCCCGAGGCCCAGCTAAAGCTGAAGCAACAAAAAGAAACAGTGACTTTTTTGGTAGTAAATCTGAATTTTTTATTATTTATTTACTTACAATGTCTAAATAATGCAAATGGCTACTTGATCAGCAGGTAAGAGGATCCTGGTCTTGTAAACGGTCTGAGTGCTTCCACTTTCCAGAGCGAAATGGAAAGCTTATTCATGAAATTCTATTAGTAACTTTTACTGTGCCGTGTTACAGGAAGCATCTTTACTTCTGCTATTTGGTGCGTCCACCAGTTACCAAACTTCAAACCAATTTATGACCCAATGAAATATTACCAACAAACACCAGTGTCAAACCCACAGACCTAAATGGTGACTTCTTAGAGAAGTAGGTAGGATGTGACCCGAAAAACATCAGCAGTGTCGGCTTTAAAACTGACACACAAATAAATAAGTTAAATATGTAAAATATTTTAAACACAAAACTATAGAAATAAATACACCACCAAAAAATATAATTTAATTGCCAAAAGAATTAAAACTGGTCATCTCTCAGTGGAGCGTTTCCTCATCAGCTACAAGCAATCAGCTCAGAAAAAGTACAGCAAAAATGGAGACTTTGATAGTACATTTAGTGACAAAAAGTAAATATTTTTGGCCTAAGAAACGCCAATGAGAACATTTTGATCAAGTAAAAAAAAGCATTTCTGCATGTGTCACATTACATGAGTAGCTAATTTCATATGTATATGCAATACAGTAGTAGTCCCTCGAAACTTTGCCATTTGTTTATCGTGAACTCGCTCTATCGCAGTTTTTCAAAATAAGACTGGACATGACACACAAGTGGCTGATTGATGGATGAACCACACGATGGGCATAGAATTTTTATTTAAAATAAATTATTTTGAATTATTTAGCACCTGCTGCACCTTTGTGCAGCCCTTACTGCTGCAGCTGATCAGCTGAACTCCATGCGGAGCATAGAAGTGGGCGTGGCCAAGAGCGCTTGCAGGTGGCTGAGAGCAGCGAAGGCAGGGAGCTGAAATCATGACATTGTGCCCTTTTAGAGCATTTAGTTTAGAAACATTGTTTAGAATATTGCAAAAGTATGGGAAGGGTTTAAAATGTCTTTATACTAAAATAAACTACTACTTACTACTTGTACTACAATTCCTACGTCGCAGTTTTTCATTTATCGCGGGGCTTCAGGGTACGGATCCACCGCAATAAACGAGGGACTACTGTATTGCTTTTAATTTGCTTTTACTTACAAAATGCTAAAAAAAATGAACAAAGTTTTAGTTTTAAGTAGTACTACATGGTTTTGGAAGACATGCAATAAGTGATAGTAAGTTTCTTTCAGCTGCTCCCTTCTTTAGGGGCGAACTCGCATGAAAGAAGTGGCAATTGTTTTACGCCAGATGCCCTTCCTGATGCAACCTGGGCTCGAACCCGCAACCTCAGGATTAGAAGACCACAGCACTGTCCACCAAGTGACCGCAGCCACACACATGCAATAAGTGACTGTTGAACATCGAAATAATAGAGCGTGATCATACTGGTTTTTTCCCTCTCCTTTCTCTCATCCCAACATAACATTGTACTTTAGCATTTTTGTCAATGTCTCCTAAATTTGGTGCAAGTATTTGTGGTAGTGTGCAGACCTGTCGGAATAAACAACAAATCAATTAATCGCATGATAAATAAAAATCATCTACCTCATTTTCATTTATCGGCTTTATCGTTTCTTCGTGTCTCTCTCTTTCTGAAGACACTGGATGACAAAAGGCTCAACTCCAGTGCTCTTCACTGACCCCTCCCTTTCTCTTTAAAATCCATTTTAACCGTCTAAAATTGCATTTTTGGATCGTTAAAAGCAGCTAAGCTGAGAAGCTAAGCTACGAGCTAAGCTAACAGGCCGACCTCGGGGAAAAAAACCTCCGTCTTTTCGAAGCTCCAAAACTCACGGTTGAAACCTGTGCCTTCATCTAAAACAAGTTGTTTTTCTCTGCAAAAAGAAGCTGAGAACTTGTTTACCGATTTTTTATTTAAAGCTATGTGTGAAAAATGCTATGCTAAAGAGCTCAAACCGCAACGAGCGTCCGCCATTTTGAGAACCGAAAAATAGGAACGAGAGACAGCACATGTCACGTCAAGGGGCCTCCCTCCCATTTTTCTTAAAGAGACGCTGCTCGCTCCCTCACTATTCATCCTTCAGTTCAAACAGTCTTATACTGCCATCCGGTGGTCAAAAAACTGTACTACACACAAAAATTAACCAACATTTTTTCTTAAATTTAACAATAATTAGTAATCATGTATTGTCAAATTTCAAACAATATTATTGTTTATCGCAATAATAGACAATCACCCAGCAAAATGTGTTGTCATGACAGGCCTAGTAGTGTGGACCTGTCTGATTTACCAAATATATTACCTGCATACTGAAACGTGGCTACCCTTCAGCCAAGTTTCAATGTTAAAGATAAAAAAAAACATTTGGTGTGAAACTTACTATGTGTATAGTGAAGCTGACTCATTAAGTCTTAAAGCTTGAAGATATTTCAAAAAGATACAGTAACTAGCCCAAAAACATACAAGTTTATAATCAAGGGAAAACTAAGGGGAAAATGGAATCTAGCAAAGTATGACTTGATATGAAGGCAACAAAAAAATTCTAGGGACGCAAAAGGCAGTGCCAGGAGAACAAACCATCACCACGAGTAGCAGAAAGGAAAAATATCTCAAATGACTCAAAAATAGGGAACATGTTTCTGAAGAAAATGAGCTGTGAGGAAAAACACATCAATATGTTTGTAATAAAAGGTGTTCTGATACAAGTTCTTAATTCAGGACTACATAACATCTGCTGTACACGTCAAACTTAGAGCTTCTTCAGCTGCAGTTCTACGAAAACGCCAACAGGATGGGGCAACTATAATGACAATCTGAACTTTGGAAAATATCTTTACATTTTGCTTTGATCAACGTTTGTCCAACAATGTAAACAGAAGTTTAAATTTAGTGCCTGAAATTAGTGATTGGTTAATGTGGCTTTAAAGGTCCAATGAACCGCCAATTATAAATGCATCCATCCATCCATTATCTTTACCCACTTCTTCCTGTTCTGGTCACGGGGGTTGCTGGCGCCCATGTCCAGCAGTCACTGTGCGAGAGGCGGGGGACACCCTGGACATGTCTCAAGTCCATCACAGGGACACAGAGACAAATGAGACGAACAACCAACCATTCACTCTCACTCACACCTAGAGACAATTTAGAGTTACCAATCAGCCTAACATGCATGTTTTTGATCTGTGGGAGGAAACCGGAGTACACAAAGAAAACCCACACATGCATGGAGAGAACATGCAAACTCCACCCAGAAAGGCTGAGATTTGAACTGGCGACCTTCTCACTGAGAGGCAACAGGCTCTACCAACTGCGCCACCGTACCGCCATTATGAATACAGGATCTGAATGATAATACAAGCAAGTATGGTAACATGGCTCTACGTTCACATGTTTATCAAAGACCTGGCCTGCAGGTTTACCAGTGTGTCGTGTGACAGACATGAATACTTTAGGGCCATAGGACACCCTCATGAAGGCTGATAGAAACACAAAGATCTGCCTCCCTGACAACATACTGGAAACAAAACAGGTCTTGATGGGCCGGTCTGTCCAAAAAAAAACGTGCTGTAAAACATGACACCCGTGTCAAACTAAAGCTTATTTACGTCTAAATTATTGTGTAGTGCAACACCTAACAAGGAGAAGACTGAGACAACCATCAGCAGATCATAATCAGATCTCAGAGCCAAACCGATCACACTCACCATCTGCAAACAATGAGCAGAACAACTTGTTGAACAGTGCTAACCTACTGGAGCACGAACACAATAGCTAAGTGGCTCGGAATTAATCAGGCATGCGAACAGACAAGGTAGTTTGTGAATGCACAGTTTAGTATCCTGGATACAAGCCAGCATGATGTGGGAGAGATGGATGATAACAATGAGCTGCCTGTCCACCTCTGTGGAAAACCATGATTTTCAATCATGCTGCACAACATAAAAAAATATACTAAAAAACATAGCTCAAATGATGATTCTAATGATTTTTCTATACACTGCAGGCAATAAATGTGAAGCAGAACGTGGATAAACTCTCTGAAGAACTGTACATTCCAGAAGCACGAGAAATGTGGGACTGCCAACATTTTTCCAGTCAGGAGTCCAAAACTCGTAGCCAGCCATGTGACTCTAAAAACAAAAGTTAGGAGCTGTACGCAAAATAATCATACAGAGAAATGTTTCAAATTAACATTATAAAACTTGTAAAGAAGTGAATACTTACATATGGTAGAGATGACATCAAATGACACTTTGTGATATAGCACAATGCTTAAATGTTACACAGTAATAAACAGCAGAGATAAATGCATCAATCACTTAGCAATGAGCTAGAGAAAGAGATGACATCTAAAAAGGAGCCTTCATTACCTTTGCAAAAAAAAAAAAAAAACCAGCACATGAGGCAAATCACAGAGCAACACGCTAATTAGCACAAGGCCACCCACCAAGATCAGGTTTTCTATGAGTTGCAGCAAAGCATACCGAATCTGAAGAAACACAACCAACAGAGACAGACACAAACGTCACACTCTAGCTCAGGTTTGCATGTTTTTTTCGGATCATCAAATTCAACCCAATGCGTTGATTATACAGAAAAGAAACCGCCACCACCCCAGCAAAACGGGGGGGAAAAAGGCGAAAAGAGCAAAGCGCAGAGCAAGGCGTTGATTTTTCAACTTGAAGGTAAACATCACCTTTGTTTCGGAGCGAGATTTTCCAGTTCCCTCCGGCGTTTCGGACGATTCAACGCGGTGTTTTGCCTCCTTGCCTACGCTGCCAGAGACTGCACTGACACTCTGACTACCCTCACCCTGAACATCCTTCTCAGGAGATCCTGCACGGTCTTCGTCACTGTTAATGTCAATGTCGTACAGTACGTCCTCTCTGTCCTCTGCATCTCTGCTACTGTCTACACTCTCTGGAGTCAGATCCCCACTTAAACTCTCTTTTGCTTTATCAGCCTCCTCACAATCCTGCTGAGGGTCCTCGGCTGAGGTCGTCCCCGACTCAGCCTCAAGGCTAATATCAGACATACCTGAAACAAGACAGACAGGATAGTATGAAAAGGTTCTACAAGCCTTCCTGACTTCTCACCGTCTTGCGTTTGTGCTTGTACAGAAACAGATCGTATATACTGTAGACTAGAGAGGAATGAAACTTAAGGTCAACTTTGTTTATGGTGCATGTTACAAATCCTGAAACATTCAAATATCTACAGAAAGAAACATCAGCCCATTTTCCCCTTTTAGGACTAAAGATGTAACAAATACTAACACTGTAAAGGTTCAGTTCAGAGCATTTAAAGTGAGGTTCCATTGAATGATTGTGAACAATAAAGAAAGAACTCCTTGAATTGGCAATTATTTGATTTTTCTTTAACTTTCGACTTGCGGTGGAATAAAGTTTACTCGCACAAAGTTCTGCAGCTGATAATAAAACGGAGGTTTTACGTACACAGACGCCAGGGATCTGGATATTTTTTCCTTTTCATATACCAACTTGGAGGGAGATGCACAAATTCTGCCAGAAAAGCTGAGCTCACCCATGACCATAGTGTCCACTTTGTAATCCTTTCAAAATAAAACTACGAAGGCTGAAAGAGGCTGGGCAGCTCAGTTTTTTTTTGTTTGTTTTTTTATCTTCTTCAGAAGGGTGGTTTTGTAAAATGCACACCAACTGGAAAAGCACCAGAAACAACTTGGCAGTGTCACTAACAGGTGCCAGAGTTATTTTAAAAAATGTTTTTGATGACAGCCTTTGGTCTTTTATTTTGCACATTTTAATTTGATTTCAAATATTCAACAATCACTGCCCATTCCTAGCAGACAGCTAGTTTGGAAAAAACAAGAAGACAAAAAAAAAAAGGTTTATTTATGATGAGCTAATGGCTGGTCCAAGAGGGACCAAAACCAAAGTGAACTGGTTAAAATAAATCCAAACTCAGACATTTCATAGTAGTTCATGTGAAGGCCATTTTACAAACCTTTGAACCTGTATCAGTTTTGCATTATACGGTAAATCTGCTAAAAAATATGATATGCTGTCAGCCTGCACTGGAAGTGCTACAGCTAGCCACTGCTGAACATCATCTGTGCTTCCAAATACAGTAGACCCTCGCTACTTCGCAGTTCCACTTTTGTGGACTCGCTCTTTCACGTGTTTTTAATGTAAGATTGTGCACGACACACGGTTGGCTGATTGATGGAAGGTGACCAAGCAGAGCATTGTGCTGAGGGGCAGACTGGCCATGGGGAGCACCGGGACATTTTCCGATGGCCTGACCCGCTCAATGATTGCCATGGGGCTGGACCAAAGGCTTGGTTCGGGTCACGCTCGATTATTTTACATAAACAATCCATGCCGCTCATTCAGGTATCTGCCTCACTGAAGCTCTCTGAGCAGTAGCGTTGAGGCGGATAACAGAGTGAGCGGCATGGATTGTTTATTTAAAATAATCAAGCCCTACCTGAACTGAGCCTTTAGTCCAGCCTCTTGCTGATCATTGAGCAGGCCAGGTCACCAGGAAATGTCCCGATGCTCCCGATGGCCAGTCCGCCCTGAATCCCAGATGCCGATTGGCTCAGTAACCATAACATCAGTCTATCTGCTCTCTTTCGCTATGCACTTTTAGAGCGTTTAGAGTTTGGAACATTGTTAAGAACATTGCAAGTGGGTGGGAAGGGTTTATAAAGCCTTAAAATATATATAAATACTAAAATAAATATAACATCCCTATTTAGCTGATTTTCACCTAGCGTCTGGAACGTAACTCCGCGATAAGTGAGGGACTACCGTACCCATGACATTCTAAAACTACAGTACAACCATGAAATGCAAAATTGCTGGTGATATAAAGTTTAAAAAATAAAATTTGCCTGAATTGTACAATATTTTAGAGCTTGTACTCATTTTAAGTTAGCAGCAGACCACTAGGGTCTTCAGCCCACTTGGACTAGCAGTCAGATTGTCAACGTGGCCAAATAAAAATATTAGTTTAAACTGGGGTGGTTCAAAGTGCTATCTACAGCAGGTTTCTTTCTTTTGTAACTTTTGCAAGTGTCATCACAGAAAGCAAACTTGCATGAAAGATTTGGCTAATGTTTTCTGTCGGATACCCTTCCTGAAGCAACCTGGGCTCGAACCCACAACCTCAAGACTACAAGACCGCAGCACTGACCACTGAGCTACCACAGCCTATAGCTGTCTACAATGAGTAAACAGATTAATTACACAACCTTCATATAGAACCCTTCCTACAAAATATTGGAAATATCCCTTTAAAGTAATATAGACATGGGACACTTTGGCAAAAAAAAGTACATGGAGATGGATAGTACAAAAACCTAGACACATCCATGCAAAACATTCCAAGTACTTCCTTTTATACAAAATGGGAACGACTATAGAAAAGATGGCTGCCCTCTGTAGAAAGGAACTCTGAACCCCTACAGAGGACATCCCAACGCTCCGTTTGGCTATAATTTGGGTTAACTTATCCCTGTAAAGCAACACAGTTGCTCTCGGGAATAATCCGAGACAGTTCTATGTTGATAGGAGCGGTCACCTATATTCACTTCATAAAACTGCATAAAAGAAGAACCCAGTTTTCAGTCCGTCCTTGGTGTGTAACGTGGCCAACCTCAAATAAGAAAGTCAGCTTTTCAATTCAATTCAAAAAAACTTTATTAATCCCAAAGGGAAATTATTTGTTGTTGTAACTCGTTATCCTCATTTCATTAAAAGATGTTATTGATACTGATGGCTGTAGACAGGAAGGATCTCTTGTAAAGGTCCATCCCACAGTGGATCCTAAGAAACTGGCTGCAGATGCCGTCCGATCTGTCCACCCAGACTCGGCTGGCCTCTCGGTTCCTCCGGGCTGTTGGACCGCCCCAATGCCGGGCAGAACTCCTCCCAGAGCGATGGCCACTCCTCCCAGCAGTCTGCCGAGCTCCTCGTCGCTGCAGACAGCCAACTGTAGGTGCCAAGGTACAATCCTGTCCTTCCGCTGTCATGAGCCGTGTTTCCTGCTAGTTCCAGGATCTCTGTGGTCAGGCACTCGAGCACAGCCAGCAGGTAGATGGGCATGCGTCCACAGAACATCCTTTTCAACTCATTTGAGATTTGGGGCTGTAGCTGAGATATTATTTGAGCTTTTGAGATGTAAATCAGCTGTTGGTTGTAGAAAACTGCCTTGTTGCCATGGTTACGCATCATAACAAATGTCCAAAACTTAAAAAGTTTCAGTAAAAATCCTTCCAGCTGCACAGCATTTGATACCAGAGGAAACAATCATCCAAAAAAATGTGATTTACATCCAACAAAAGAGGAATTAAAGTTTCCAAACGCAAAATCTCAGAATGAAAGTAACAGAGCTGCTCCAACATGCAGCCACCTTGAGCGGCGCGATTCTAGAACAATTCAATTCAATTCAAAAATACTTTATTAATCCCAAAGGGAAATTGTAGCTCATCTTGGTTTCATTAGAGTCGTTATAGATGCTGATGGTTGTGGGCAGAAAGGATCCCTTGAAGCAGTCCGTCCCACAGCGGACTTAACTGCCGGTTTCAGGGGTCCTCCCACTGTCATGAGCCACGTTTCTTGCCACCTCCAAGATCTCGGCGGTCAGACACTCGAGCACTGCCTCCAGGTAGACGGAAATGCATCCATGGCACCTCCTTTTCAACTCCTTTGGGATTTGGGGCTGTAGTTGAGGTATTATTTGAGCTTTTGAGATGTTAATCAGCAGCTCCCAATAGTAGAAAACCACAATGTTGTCATGGTTACGCATCATAACAAATGTCCAAAAGTAAAACAGTTTCAGTAAAAATCCTTCCAGCAGCACAGCATCTGATACCAGAGGAAGTAATCATTCGAAAATCTCTATTTACATCCAGAAAAAAAAGAGTAATTAAAGTTTTCAAAAGCAAAATCTCAGAGCTACTCCAACATGCAGCCACATTGAGCGGTGCGATTCTGGAACTGCTGTAAAACATTGAAAGCACAAAAAACATCCCCACCGATATGCTAATCAGTGAAAAAAGCTCTGCATAGATAAACTACAATCTGTGTAAAATTAGGACTAAAAGAAAATAACAAAGACCTTTGTAGAACCTAAGGTCAAAATGTGCTCCATGACTGTGTGTATACAGTATACTGGTGGTGTGTTCAAGTTCAGCACCAACTTCTTGACTTTAGTTCCAATACTTTCACATGAAATCAAACCTCTATTATGGTCAAGTCTTAGGCTCACCCTTTCTGATCTAACTTTAAACACCCCAGTTACCTCCAACCATATCTATACACAGTTTTTGCTCCCAACATGATAACAGATGAATACTAAGCTTGTAAAAGTAAAAGGGAAGTTGACAATGAGTAAATACACAAAGAAGGCTTTAACCCTTTGTGCTCACAAACATAACATGAAATCACTATGTGATTAATAAATGTAAGTATATTTTTGTCTACTTTGCTCTGTTAGAGTCTTTAGCTAATCTGCATGTTTACAGAGAAATCTTGGGTTTCAGCATGGTTTGGAGTAAATGGTAGTTATAACTTTGCATTTGTGTCAATGTCCAGGACTCAACCATCAGCAAGAAAACGTGACTGACTTTTATTGTGTGTACACACATTTGTGTTGTATATTACTAGTAACGTGTGAACATTTCTCATTCCCTTCTATGTAAACTCACATCCCGGAAAAGCCGTCAGGTTGAACGACTCACCTGTTGCAGCAATTAGGTCACGTGACTTACAAAGAAGGCGTCTAGAAGTGATAAATAATGCTGTTTAAAGCTGCTTTCGTGCACAGAATTTGAGTTAAATGCACGGCTAAGCAACCGCCAAGCCGCATCTTAAGTTGGAACGAAACTATTCACTTTGTTTGCTCCTGTTTGCTCCTGAACGCCTCACTCCGTCAGTCGTTTACGTTTAGCTTACACACTTTACAACACCGGCAGCCAACCAAAATAAGACTTCTAGTCTAAAAATCCACCGATGAAAGTGTCACATGAGTAATTCAACGCTACAAGAGAACGATGAGGTCATTACCCAAGTGCGGATGTGGCTAACTATTAGCCGCTGCGGTAACTAAATCCTCTGCCGTGCCGCTGCGCCACCCTTGACGTTTTCTGGAAAGATACTGCCGCGAGTGCTGGTGATGCAAACGTTGCATAGATACACCACCGAGTTGTTATCAGTAGTCCTGAACGCCGTCTGACCACACCAGACGTGACGTTTGGACCCCGGAAAGAGTTACAGTGTTGCCTTAAGCTTATCTGTAAAATCTAGCGAGGCAAACTTCGTCTTTTAGAGTGCGCGCGCGCCCCCTGCTGTTCAAACGCAATGCTTGCAGTTGGTCAGCTTTTTCTTTTACTAAAATAATTTGTGGTTGAGAAACTACTTTTTGGTTCTTTACTGCCACCTGCTGTTCTGGAATGAGACAGCTTTTTTGCACAGATTTTGGTTATTAAACCAAGCTCTTGACCTTGGCTTTAAACATCTGCTAAATTCCTGTCTGAAACCAATGCAGACATGTTCCTGTTTTTAGTTTACCACACCGCCTTATAATCTAGCTGTTTTTTTCTCCTCGCTACTTTTCCTTTTGATTGTCCTTTTGGTTGCTATTTTGTTTTGATATGTAAAAAAAAATAGATTTGTATGCCTTTTTGGTGACTATTATTGTTGTAGTTGTTATCCACTGTTGTCATCACTCTTTGTTAAGGAACCAGGTCTCTCTTGTAAATGAGTCTCCAAGGCTCAGTGGGATTAACCTGTCTAAATAAAGGTTGCAAGAATGAATGAATGAATTTATCACATCTAGGCTGGACTATTGCAATGGTTTGTTATCCAGGTGTCCAAAACTTTCTTTAAAAAGTGATCCAAAATGCTGCTGCCATAGTCCAGCAATGGTCAGTCAGGTCATCTGGACTGTTTCTTTTTTTTTTTTTTTTTTGCTGAGACGTTTCGTCCTTCATCCAAAGGATGATGATGATCTGACAGAACATTGTTGGATTTTCACCTGGATTATTGAGCATGAACTTTGATGTTTTAAACCACTTGGACATGGCTGCCTCAGAGGAGTTAACTGGGGAGAGGGCGGGTCCCAGAAACCATATTATTACCAGCAAATAGTTTGTTTTTTTCCACTATGTGAGCGAGCTGCTTGTGGGACTCGGTTTGTGTGTAGCTCCTCGGGTTGATGAAGTCTTTTGGATGAAGGACAAAACATCACAGCAAAAAAACAAACAAACAAAAAAAAAAAAACAGAAACCATTCAGATGACCTGACTGAACATTGTTGAATTTTTACCTGGATTATTGAGCATGAACTTTGCTGCTGCCAGAGTCTTAATGAGAGTTTTCAGGAGAGATTATATCTCCACAGTTTTATCTTCTAGTATTGGCTCCCTGTCAAATTCAGAATAGAATTAAAAATCTTACTTCTAACCTACAAATCTTCCAACAACCTAGCTCCATCATTACAGATCTTGTTGTTCCATATTTTCTCAACAGAGCCCTTTGCTCTCAGACTGCAGGCTTACTTGTGGTTTCTAGAGTTTCAACAACAACAAAAAAAGAAGCAAAAAGTAGAATGGGAGTTAGATCTTTCAGTTATCAGGCTCCTCTCTTGTGGAACCAACTTCCAGTTTCTGCCCATGAGGCTGACACATTGTCCAGTTTTAAGACTGGGCTTAAGACTTTCCTTTTTGATAAATCCTATAATTAAGGTTGGCTTGTCATGCTGCCATAGGCTTAGACTACTGAGGACAAATTGACCTCATTTCCTTAAATTAATTGTTACAACTGAATAGTTTGCATTTGATACTATTTCTATTTTAACGTGATTCTCAACCTGCCATTGTGTATCTGTTCCTCCTTCCTGTTTCTCTCAAACCCAGCTGGTCAAAGCAGATGGCCGCTTGTCCTGAGCCTGGTTCTGTTGGAGGTTTCTTCCTCATGAGGGGAGTTTTTCCTTTCCACTGTCGCCTTCATGCTTGCTCAAGATGAGAGTTCTGTGATGAAGTTAAACTCAAAGCAGTCTGCTCCTCAGATAAATAATGTTATTAATGTACTTTTTATGTATGTGAATGTTTCTGTTCAGTGCCCTGAGATGAATTCTGTTGTGACTTGGTGCTATATAAATAAATTGAATTGAATTGAATTCAATTATCACAATGTTTGCTGCCTCAGTTTTTATGGTGTCAGTTTGTATTAGATTGTGAAGATCAGATGAAATGCAAGGACATTGCTGTTTGTAAGATAGCACCCCATCCATTCAGCCATTATCTTTTACCCACTTCTTCCTTTTTGGGTTGCATGGGTCACTGGTGTACAGAACCTGAGTGACAGGAGTTTTTGTGTCAAGGTTGGTAATAATGTATCTGCTTCAATGCCCCTTTCCTGCAGGGTCCCACAGGGCTAGATTCTTGGACCCCTTCTGTTCTCACTCTATTTGCTCCCACGGGGGTATTTCCTGAGGGAACATGGTCTTAACATGATTGTTATTAATGTTAGATCCCAGGTGGCAAACTGAAGAAAAGACAGGCACAGTTTCTACAAAAATAATCCTCTTTATTTTCTCAGGGAAAATGGGAACTGGGCTGAAAAGGAGAGGGATTAGGTGAGTATTGGTTGCAAGGTTTTGCAGATTGATTGTTGCCAGAAGTAGGATTTAAATCTCTTACTGGTTTTTCCTTTGTTGTAGGAGTTGAAGGGGAGCGCAGTGAGGTCCTGGATTCCAGGAGAGGCCACTTGAGGAGAGGTGAGTACCATCTGAGCGACAAACTGGTTGCAGCAGGAGCAGAGAGTAGGCTGGAGGCTGTTGATTGGTAGCAGGAGCAGGGACACCTTCTGAGGGAGCCGAGCCTTTGGAGAGTTGAGGCCTTGGAAGGCTGGTTGAAGATAGGACTTGAGAGTCGCTGGAGAGAGTCAAAGCAATAAGGCTATTAGGAGACAATAAAAAGCTGACCATTACCTACCATTCAAAGGATAATGTCCCTGCGCTGAAGGAGAGTCTGGCAGCAGTTGAAGTAGTCCTGCAGCTGTGGGAGAGAGTGAGTGGCAGGCAGAAAACCAAAACTCCCACAAATCTTTCATTCCATTGTTATGCTGATGATTGTCAGATTTACCTGCCTTTGAAACCAGCTAGGGCTTGCTCCATTCACCCTCTCCTAAAATGTCTGGATGACATTAAGGCATGGATGGCTTCAAATTTCTTAAGTTTTAATCAGAAGACTGAAGTCGTTGTGTTCAGCCCTAGCTCAACTGCTGCCGCTGATCCTGTCAACCTGGACTCCTTTCAGCCATATCTGAAGCAGTCTGTTAAAAATTGGTTGGTTTTAGACTCTGACTTCAAGTTTGACAAACAAATCAACTCTGTTCTGCAGAAAAGCTTTTTTAAGGCAGATAGCTAAGCTTAAGCCAGTGTTGACCAGATCCAACCTCGAGAAACTAGTCCATGACTTTATCACGACCCGACTGGACAGCTGTAATGCACTCTATGTTGGGGTCAGCCAGGCCTCCATCTCGCATCTCCAGCTTGTCCAGAATGCTGCTGCTCGGCTCTTAACCAGAACTCATAGGCTTGATCATATTACACCAGTTCTGTCCTCCCTTCGCTAGTTCCCTGTACATACTAGAATAGATTTTAAAAAAATCCTATTGACCCTTAAGTGCCTAAATGGCCTTGCACTCCCTTATCTCTCATATCTTCTTCACATTGATGTGAAAGTTGTTCTTGCTGCACCAGTCCTCTCTAACTGAATCTATATATCTTCTATTTGGCCTTCTTCTTTGTCTTTTTCCTTGATTTTTTTTATGATAATAATAACAATAATAATAATAATAGTAATAATAATAATGATGGTGAAAATAATAATGCTGAAAACCTGAAAATTAACATTTTGGCTAAGCCTTTTGTTATTGATGTTTTATTGTGGAACTTTCTTACGACTTTCTTGTTGTAGTCAAAGTAAGTTTATGAACCAAAACTCAATTTCCCATAATCGCTTGGTTGGGGCACGCACGTTTACGTTTCAACGCAGAGCTGCCAGAGCCTAGTCCGGCTGTAGAAGCCATATTGAAATCTATGAAGTCGGCTTACACTTTGATGGGACTCCGACGATTTGGGAGTCTTTAAATCGCTCTGCCAGATTTAAACCAACGCTATTGTACCAGACATTCCGCTTAAGACTATATCAGCACTGGGAAACAAGTTGTCTCGTCTCTTTAGCGGAAAACATGAGTCCAACGGATGCTAAACGCGGAGCTAAACGCAGGAAGAACAAGCGGGGCGGTGGCAGTAGCTGCAGTGCTGTCTGCAACAGTAGTGGCAAGGCCGGGGTAGTCCCGGCCTTAGGAACAGCAACACCTGAATCTGTGGTCAGTTTTTTAACATCTGGGAATACAGGCAACGGGAACATGGGGTCCACCACAGGAATTAACGGAGAGGTAAGAACGTTAATCGGTGGATGTCAGGAACTGGAGTGTTATCAGCCACATCTGAGTTGGGCCCAACTGATGCGAGAAAAAGCAGCCAGCTAAGTAATAAATATAAAGTAGCGTACAGTTATATGCCATAATTACATTTTATTGTAGCCATTATGTTTGAGAATCAAATACATTGTTAGAAACTAGTACAGTAATAGTTATACTAGTTTTAATGTATAGACAAATCGCCGTAAACATTAAGCTAATGTTCTTGACCGAACAGTGGGTCTGCACCATTTACACGCCACTGTGCTGTGCGCCGAGTAGGCGGGGTTTGCAACTCAGGTCAGCGTGTTAACCCGGCGGCCATACGTCGGATGTTTATCTCAGATCTAGCAGTGACAGCGCCGTACATCATCGTCGATCATTCGGCTTGTAAAAATGAGAGTTAATGTAATCAAAGTCCGTTTTATTTTATGAATTTCAAGTTGCACATTAACCATCTGATTATTTTCGTATATTTTCTTTTTTTATTTCCATCTTTATGTCTTCAACTGTTAAAAGTAAACTTACATTACTTCAACAATGTTTTAATCTTGATTAAAATCAATTTCTCTCCATTAACAAAAGAAGACTTTGCCGCTTGTCACCATTTCTAACCGGGTCGTCCGCCGATGGATATATAAGGAGCGGATCCTTCGTTAGCTAAAGTTAAAAGATCGCGGTTGTATTGACAGCCGTTTGGGCGCCAGGAAATATTATTATAAGATAATACATACAGTGCAGGTGGAAATTACGTCGGAGAAGCCGAGATTATTCTGGAGTATCGTTCGGCTCAGCACAGGTGGATAATAAACTGCCGTTTCTCAGCTAAACGTTAATGCTAGCAAATGCTAACAACTTTAGCTTTGTCCGGTTTGTTTCCTTCATGCTAATCACCCGCTTCTTTTTACTTGTGTCAAATTGAACATAGTGATGTTTTCTATAGCAACAATTAAACCAATATACTTTGTTTTGTTATTTAAGGAAACTTTTACCTAGTTGTATTAAGTAAACAGTAAAATTGTGACTCGCACTGGACCCTCAGGGCTATGTTTTAACACTATTATTATTAGCACAACGTTAGTAATTAGTTTAGCTATAATCATTACACTTTTTAGAAATGTAACCAACTTTCATCTGGGTTTTGTGCGAGGTAAAGAACTTCTATGTGACTTAAGACAAGACAAGTTAATGTGTTTATTATGGTTATTTCTCACTCCGACAATTATTTTATTGTTTTCATTGGACTAAATGTGATATTTTTCTCCCTACAGCTGTAAATAGACGTTTAAGGATGCCTTTTTGACATTAAAATACATTCTTGTCAAAACAAACACATTGGCAGACAATCCAACTTGTATTCAAAGCCAAGTAGTTGGCTTGGATTTTGGAATCAGTCCAACAGACATAATTTTTACAATATTAACTTTGTGAAATTAATCAGCTACAGGAGTGTCACGTGGTGAGCTAGATGTACACACTGAATTGTTTGTGTCCCGCAGGTCAAAGTGAACAACAACGTTACTCCACAGTTTAAGGAAGGCCCAGTAAACGTTGACTTCTCTGGAGTCCTTCAGGTAAATTTACACCAGCTCCATATCTAAGTTTTGAGGCTGGTGAATGCATAAAGTAGTTTAAAAAAATAAAAACATCCGAGGTAGATTAGTAAAGTCTCTGTTGAACTTTAGATTACTTTTAGCTCACATGCACACAATGGTGAACTTATTTAAATATGTGAAGAAACTACCCTGTAAAACCTTTCAAATGAACCCAAGATTCTTATTCTGACAGCTTAGATAGCACTTTACCCCTTTGCAGTTTTCCTGTGTGCAGGTATGAGTATGTAATTAGCTCTACCTTTATCATTCACTTGGCTGCAGCTGCTCAGACACTACTGATCATTTTGATAAATTGGCTCATGTTTCAGATGAAAATTACCTTTAAATAATATTTAAGATTACAGTTTTTATGATGTTAATAAGTTGAAAGCAGAAAGATGTGAATTGTGTACTATTCTGTTTTGGTTGTATTGAAATATACAATTTAATTATTTGTGTTTTGAACTCATTCAGTCAGTGTTTCCTGTTTCATTTTTTGCAGTATTTTAAATTTATAGAATAAGCTTGTAATAATGTAGAGTTCAAACAGAATTCTGATTTGTGGTGGTTCTGTCAGACTGCAATGCTTCAGTAGGAGCGTATGAATATGGGTAACCCTCAAATATGTAGTTTCCTAAAAACAACCTGCAGTCTTATAAATGTTTTGAGATGATTGTAAAACAACTTTCTAGAAACCTCAGCCAGCCAGTACTGATGCGTGTGTTGTGGGTTTTATTTAGTGAAACGTAATTGTGTGGTTGTTGGTTTTTTTTTTTTGTGCATTTATAACTAAATGACAATGCTGTTTATAACAAAGAAACTTTAATATCTTTAATAGTGTGGAACTGGTTTGTTTACCCAGCTGCTTGTACCTGGTGTTCAGTTGGTCACACAGAAGTTAAAGTGGGATATGCTCAGTGACCTAGTGCAGAATCTGATCATTCTAGAAACTGATTTTCAGAAATGTAAAAATTATTAAAATTCGGAAAAAATATTTGAGAAAGCAGCATAAACATAAATTGCTGCTCAAGTTAAAATAACTGAAACCGTTCTCTGTATTTTATGAACACAGCTTATACTTCTTTTATCTCATTGCTTTATTTAAAAAATATTCCAACCACATTTCTGCACAATTGTACATCTTTTCATGGATATTTTCCCCCATCTTCTTCCACTTGTGCACCAACCTCAGACTCCGTTCACGTTCGGCCTGAACCAGCGAGCGCCCTACACAGCCGGCGATTGCTGCCTTCTGTGTCGATGCGAGCGTAAGGACTGCATGGTGTCTTCAGAGGCAGGCGTCCTGGGTCAGAACGGTACGGCACAGCCCACCAACTCAGCCAGTGCCCTCCAGCTGCCTTTGTGGGTATGCTCAGACTGTAGACTCACAGTGGAGAAGGAAGATAGACGTTCGACTCTGGAGCAGTCGTTAGGGGTGAGTCAGCTTTATTTAAAGCGTTTTGTAATGGTTAACTGTGATGTGGTGACAACCAAACTTTGTTTTTGAAGAGAAAAAGCTACATCTGTGTTCTTCAAATTTCTGCGTAGTTATCTTTCCCATTTAACAAATCAAATAATAATCAGTTATTGGATCACATTATTGAGTCATATTTTAAAAACCTTGAAACATTCAACAAAGCGATATAAAGCATGCCTAGCAATTTTTTGTTGTTGTTAAATATTCAATTCAATTTATTTCTATACAACAATGACATGTTTAGCCGTATGTCGGCTTTCAACCACTGGGCATCCAGGTGGTGCTCTGAAAACGACGTAGGATTTGGAGACAGCTGGAGTGCATTTTGGGGGGAAACCCGGTCTGATGCGGAGAGATTGAATCCATCCCGACTTAAAAGGAGCAGCACTTCTCTCTAGAAACTTAGCTGATTTAGTTGGATTGTTGAGTTAAAGGGTCAGTCTAGAAATTAGTCCAGGAAACAGAGATGTAGTCTTCCACACTTTTCTGCTGCTTCTTCATTACCCACCCCAAACCCCACTGAAACGGTGCCAACTTGCCCATGGCTCAAATCAAATAAACCAAAAATCAGCTCTAAAAATATAAACCATAAAAATATTATTAAAATAAACACAACTACTTTACCAGAACAAAAGAATAAAATCATTAAATGTGGACTATTGAACATCAGATCTCTTTCTTCCAAATCCGTTAGTTAATGACCTGATAACTGATCATCATACTGATTTATTCTGTCTGACAGAAACCTGGCTACTACAGGAAGATTTTGTTAGTATAAATGAATCCACTCCACCTAATTATTTAAATTTTCATGTTCTTAGAACAACTGGTCGAGGCGGAGATATAGCTTTTATTTTTCAGTCGGGAATATTACTACTAAACCAATGAGTAGTTATAATACTTTTGCGTTACTGTCTCTAAGTCTGTCCCATCCTAAATGGAAAACGGAATGGCCACTCTCACTAGTTATATATTGTCCACCAGGTTCCTATGCTCCGTTTTTTTCTGAATTCTCAGATTTCTTAAATGACTTACTACTAAATACTGATAAAGTCATAATAATGGGTGGTTTCAATCTTCATGTAGATGTTGAAAGTGATAGCTCAAGCATAGCCTTTAAAATCTTAGAGTCAATTGGTTTTACCCAAAACACCCACTCACTTTCATCATCACACCCTTGACCTTGTTCTGGCCTATGGCATGGAGATTAATAACAGTACTGTTTCCTCAAAGTCCTGTTGTGTCTGACCATTTTTAAATTACATTTGAGTTTACATTAAATGACTACAGTCACTAAGAGCTAATTTCACCTTAGCAAGTGCTTATCAGAAAACGCTGTAACCAAATTTAAAGATTCACTTCCATCGTTTTCCTCTGTTTTGCAGAGTAATACATCAGAGACAGTGATTTAAATCATCTAGTTGATAATTTTACAACTACTTTCACTGTTTCCCCTAGATAACTTGCCATGGCGGGACACTCATCTCACCTGTGATTTTGGACAAAAACACGTCCTGAGCTGTGCAACGCCCTGTTTATACCGACAATTTTGAGAGGGGGAAGAGAAGAGACACAGTCGCACGCTGTTTGCATCAACAGTTTTACAGTTTTGGAACAGGGCAGAGGAGAGAGACATACACATCTCAGCTGCACACTCTGTCTGTACTGACAGGTTTTTTTGGGGGAGGGGGAGAGACAGACACGAGCCGTGCGCTGTTTGTACCGACAGTTTTCGAGTGGTGGGGGGTGTCAGCGTGAGGGTTCTGCATGAGGGAAGAGGCTGCCTTTAGCTTTTTAGCTAGTGCACCTGTATTGCGAGCTGCTAGTTTAGTGTTCCGTCAGAGCCGACAGGTGGTTGGTGGGGGGTTCGTAGACAGGGCGCTCGGCTCTGTTGACAGGGCAGTGCGCCCTGCTTGTATAATGGTAGGGGAAACACTGACTTTGCAAACTTCACTCGATAAAGCTGCTCCGCTAAAAAAGAAAGTAATCAATCAGAGGAGATTAGCTCCTTGGTTCAATTCTGAGTTACATACTTTAAAACAGACGTCTAGAAAGCTAGAAAGAAAATGGCGCTCCACTAACGTTGAGGAATCTTGCGTATCCTGGAGAGATAGCCTGCTAACGTACAAAAAAAGCACTCTGTAAAGCTAGAACTTTACATAATTAATTTTTAATTGATGAGAATAAAATTAACCCCAGGTTCATTTTCAGTACCATAGCTAGTCTAATGAAAAATCCTATCTCTGTTGATTCATGTATCCCTACAACTATAAGCAGTGATGACTTCATGAGATTCTTTATTAATAAAATTGTTTCAATTAGGGACAAAATTCAACATTCCTAGTATTGCCTCTGGTTCTGTGTCAGATGAGACAACTTTAAAAATGTCACTAGAACCTGATTTATGTTTGGACAGTTTTTGTCCTGTTGAGCTCTCTGAATTGTCAAAAATAATTGCTTCATCCAAACCAACATGTCTGCTAGATCCCATCCCAACCAGACTATTTAAATATGTATTTCCCTTAATTAATAACCACGTCTAGGATCTGCTTAATTTGTCTCTAATAAACGGTTACATACCACAGAGCTCTAAGATTGCTATAATTAAACCTTTACTTAAAAAACATAACCTTGACTCAGGAATCCTAGCCAATTATAAACCTATATCTAATCTAACTTTCATCTTAAAAAATTCTAGAGAAAATAGTTGCTGATCAGTTACGTGATCATCTGCAAAGAAATAATCAGTTTGAAGAGTTTCAGTCAGGTTTTAGAGCTCACCACAGCACTGGATCTGCACTGGTGAAAGTTACTAATGATATTCTCGTGACCTCTGACAATGGACAGTTGTCTACACTGGTCCTGTTAGACCTCAGTGCTGCATTTGATACAGTTGATTACAATACTCTATCTAGCAATATAATAAGCTACTGCTTTATTAATCTCGTGGCGCCACCTCTCACTGTTCCTCTCATAAGGCACAGCACGGCTAAATGAGTTTTGTACCGTGGTTTGTTTCAGGGAAGGAGGCTGAAGTCTGTCGGACCTGCAGCTGCAGTACATACAGGCTTCATATTCCACTGTTTTTATGGTGAAAAATATTTTGTAGTTCCGACCTTTTATCAGGACTTGTTTTCGGCATTGTCTACAGAAATCATTTTTCTCCCTCTCATCTGACAATTTAAATCCAAACCATCTCCGAAAGAACAGCCATTGTTTTTCTTTTTGCTCAACAGCAGCTAAGCTGCTTTTCATATCTCCCGTGTTTACTTGTGCTAAACGTCTCCCGCCCACCTCCTGGAGAAGCAAGAAGTGGGGAGAGCATGGCTGAGGGGCTGGGTTTGTATTGAAGGAGGGGGCAGCGTGAGAGAAAGAAGACAACAGGAAGATTTCCAAGCATAACACAACATCGTTTTATACTGATATAGTCTCAACTTTAAATCACAAAAAAAATCTAGATATTTTTAAAATATTGAGATATCGCCCAGCTCTACCCATCACGTTAGTATTGATACGGTCCAACAACAACATAATGTTTCTATGGATTCTCCATCATCCAGGACATAGGAAATTAAACAAAGACAAAGCAACTGAACTTTTGTTCTGTAGCTGAAGACGTGGAGTTCAAAGATTTTCAACTGCATGGAGTTGTTATCATTATTAATACTTGGATCGATCTGCTTACCCCTACGTCACTGACATAAAAGTCGGATAAAACGTGACGTGTCTGTTCAGACTAAGGTCGCATTGAAAACCATTAGGTATGTATCTGATTCAGACCACATATGAAAAAGAACTGGGATGGATTTGAAAAAAATCTGATATGCCACGTTCAGACTGTCATGCAAAAATCCAATATGAGTCGCACAGAGGCAAAATAATTGGATTTGGGCCACATTTGCTTGCACTATGAGCATAGCCTAAATTTCTTTAAAATCTTTTGGACTTTTATCTGGATTAAAATGAAGAAAAATAAATAAATCTTTTCAATCTGCTGTTCTGATGTAACCCACAGAGCCAGGACTTCCTGTTGCATATGCCTGTTGGTAGTAGAACCCTGTCCCAGGAGGCAGCCACAGTGAACAGACTGACTGCTGCGCCGCTCCCTACTCCAGGCCTCAATGCACAACTGCCTCCAGATGCAGTTTGCAGCTGTGATGCCTGCAACGAGAGAGGGTCAGTAAAAACTTAATATGTTGGAGGTAATTTATATCAAATGAAATAGGACGACTTTTGGTGTGTTTTTATAAGACCACAAGCATGCATGTTAGGCTAATTGTTAACTAAATTGTCCCTAGGTGTGAGTGAGAGTGTGAATGGTTGTTTGTCTATGTGTACCTGTGATGGACTCGCAACCTGTTCAGGGTGGACCCCGCCTCTCACACAGTGATTGCTGGATATGGGCACCAGTGACCCCCGCCAACCGAAAAGGAAGAAGCGATTGAAGATAATGGATGGATTGTTTTTATAAACTTGTTCATTTATGAAAATGCCAGGGATGTCTCTGTCGAGTCGGAGAGGGAGTCGCAGCAGCTGCAGAACCACTGGTCAGAGGTTCGCTACCTGGTGCGTTGCATCTATCGTCAGACAGGAACGCCACTTGCAGATGACCAAGACCAGCCCCTGGAGAGAGACCGAGAGAGCATGAAGGAACTGGTGGACAGGTGTGTTTGTCCACTAGAGGGCTCTCTATTGTAGTAAAAGCCTTGTGTTGCTATTCAATCATTGACCAAAGTTACTATTAGATAACCTTTCCAAAAAACAAAAAAAAATAGCACTTTTTATTCTGTATGTATTTTTCTCCTGTAGACTTTGCGTAAAAGATCCGTATCAGCTTTACCAACGGCTGGAACAGCAGGCTCGAGAATATGTCTTGGAAATGAAGGTGCGGTTACTGAAGCACCTTTCTGCCGGTTCTAAGACTGCAGGAACACCGGGGACTGTGGCTGCAGCCCAGGGTCCTCCTCAGGCCCACCAGTTCATATCGCTGCTGCTGGAGGAGTACAGTGCTCTCTGTCAAGCTGCACGCACCATCAGCAGTTTCCTGCTCACCCTGGTTAGTTTACCTGGTTTATGGTGTCACAATTAATTTGGTAACCAACAGATTTTTTTGGGGGGGGGGGGGAAATAAGATCTTTGGTTCATTTATTTACAAGTTTTCTGTTATTGTTCATCCACATAATTTCTATGCCTCTCTAATGCACATTTTAAATCCGTTCCAGGAGAACGAGCACCTCCAGAAATTTCAGGTGACGTGGGAGCTGCACAACAAGCACCTTTTTGAAAGTCTGGTTTTCTGTGAACCAGTCTTACACAACAGTTTACCAGCACTAATTGCACAGCTGAGGTAAGACTTTTGTTTATGTATGAAATTAAACATCATATTAGGTTTTGTACAGCCCTAGAAAATAATTCCCATTTTCCTTTATTGATTTAAAAACCAGCAAGTTAATAGAAAAATGTGGGTCAGACAAAAACTTCAAGTAATGTATAAAAATAAATAATTTTTGGTTGTTTTGGAGAAAGTTTAGTTATTTGTGAGCATGAAAACAATTTTTGCAAAAAAAAAAAAAAATGTTTTAACCCGGCAAAGATTAAATTATATGACTTGTTTTTGTCAGCCCAAAATAAACTAACCAGAATGTTATTTGATTTTGTTTTTTTCTTTTAATCGATGTAATTAGAATGTCTAGATAATTTATATAGATAAAGATAAAAGTAAACACCCAAAGGTATTTTACACTACGCAGGTGTCCTTAGTATTGAGTGTAATTATGTTTTTTATTAATATTGTAATGTAATTCCAGACACGGTACAGCCTCTCATGATTCATATAATGAAGACATGTACCGGACTCTGTTGGAAAGCTACCAGCAGCTGGAGCAGGAGATGGTTTCTGTGGCTGCTCAATGGCAGGAGTGTGAGAAAAGAATTGATGACTACGTGGACGAACAGGTAAGCACACAGAAGCTGAAACGGTTAAATAAATAAGATGTTTATTTACGCAAATTTATAAATACAAGGAATACTTTAGGACTGTATTTTTCTTTCTTTTTTTTTTTTTTGAAGTTGCTTTTTAAGGTGGAGGGTCAGAGTCTTAACAACCAAAGAACAGAGGCACACAAATCCTTGGTTAGCAAAAATGTAAGGCTTGAAAATTAAACATTTGTGTTTTTCTGCTGGTTTTTAAGTTTGTAAATGTTTGTTGCTCTGATTATCTGCTCATATCAAGACTTTGACAACAAAGCAGCGAATGCTGAAGGAGGACTGGGAGTTCTTTAAGCAGAGAAGATTTATAGAAGAACAGGTATGCTGCCGGAGTACAAAGTAGTCGTATTGGATTTGAATTTGCATTTTTGTACTTCAAAGCATTGTTTAAAAAAAATTATTTTTTTAGATACCCAACATTAAAAAGACCACCGCTGGAGATAACAATTTTACAGACACAATGAGGATGCTCTCGTCTCGTCTTAGTATTTCAGACTGTCCGAACTGTAATTACAGAAGAAGGTAGGTTTACAGCTGGTATGGTGATGTAATTGACTGGTCTGTTCTGTCATGTTCAGTGCATTAACATCCAAACGATAAAACCCTGTTGAACTATGAACTTCTTTTAATGTTTAAAAGAAAACCTCTTAGTTTATGTTGTGACTGTTCCTAATATATATATTAAATATGGACAACAGTCACATTTTGATCAAATTCTAATTAGAATATTTACACCCCATGCAAATATACACCAACACAAACGTTTTAATTTTCCAGCAGGTTGGAATTGATATTTCATAATTCAGTCATAACTGAAAACTCTGACTGGACTTTCCACTTTGTAACAATTGTTTTCAGTCACTATTCATTTAGTTTCTAAAATAAAAGTTTGCCAACACAGAACAGGGGTCGACATACCGTATTTTCCGCCGTACATGTCACACCTCCCTATAAGTCGCATCAGTCCAAATATGTCTAATAAAGTGGAAAAATCCATAAATAAGTCGCTTCACCGTATAAGTCGCATCTATTATGTACCGTTGACAAGTCGCGTTTGTTACGCGTCACCGCTGACGACCCAGAAATGTGGGCCAGTGTTGTGCCAAAAATCGATTGGCTGCCAAATGGAGACCGTGGGAGCGTGCACGGAAGGACTTTAACGATAATTTAATAAGGTTAACACTTAAAAACAATTGTTTGCTCGACATTATAACAAAGGTGTGTCTCAGTTGAAGTTTTACTTAATAAATGCACTTCAATGGTCAAATTAGCTGCATTTCGCCGGGGTGGTGCAGTAAAATGAAACTGATTTGACGGGTGCTCCAGGTGAGCTGGATGAAGGCGGCAGGCTGTGGCAAGCCGATTGTGTCATTAATAGCCACTTTTACCTATTACATGACACAACGGCATGCCATGCTACTCGAGTGCCATCTAGCGGCTGAAGATGGTAGCGATCCATATTTTCAGTCAGAATGAATGAAAACGTCATATCTCAGTCAAAAATTGGTTTATAAATATTGGAAAAAATCCATTAAAACGCTGCTTAAGCTATAAGTCACAGGGCATGCAAATTATGCAACAAAACATGACTTATAGGCCAAAAATGCGGTAATCCATTTGTCTGAGTCTACTTGTTTTTTTTCTTTGACGACCAGATCTCGCCTTGAGGTTGACCAGTTGGACAACCAAGTGAAATAAACACAAATTAATTTTCTCCGTCGTCGTGACAGATTTCCTTCATTGGTAAAAATGAACGGGGTCAAAAACGTGTGTTTTTGTTGTGGTCTTGTTAAAGCAGTCCAATTTAATGAACCAGGGATTAAACTGATGCTGCTCTCTGTAAATAAAAAGAAGCAGAGCCACAGTTTGACCCAATCAGAGCAGAACAGGGCGGGTCCTGCTGTCTGACACATGACAGGTGTGTGCAGTGTTCCCAACTTGGAGACAGACTGCAGGTGAGAGCACCAATCAGTGTTTCCTGGACTATTTTCTTAGAAGGACACCCTGCTGCTCTAAACGAAGGTGATGATATGTACCAAATTATTAAACGTCTACGTATTAAACATGTGTTCATGTGTGACCAATTCATGGCAGTCAGGGGAGATACCAGAACTGATACATGGCCTCCGACCTCCCCACGGCTTTTCTGTCTAAAATCTAACTTTGTATAAAACGTTAATAATGTGTTCGGAGCGTCGTCGTCATCGTACAGACATGTGCAACTTGTGCGTGTGACTGAACTTCTGGTCATTAAGGAGACCAGAAGAGACACAAACAGGCCGAGTGTTCTCTGCAGGAACATGCTCAGCCTGTTTGTGTCTCTCACGATGAGAGCCAGCGTCTTTGCCTCAATAACCTCTAGGTTAGAAAAACATTCAGTTAAAAGATTTTTTTCTGTTTTAATCTCTGCCTTAAATGCATTGGGAGTGCTTCTCTTTCAAAGTCTGATGATGAGGAGAACGACGAAGTTCCACTTTAGCAGCTCCTTAAAGAGGCTGCTACTCAGCAGCTTAAAAATTCCAAGCAGTCCACAAGATGGCGGACTGAGAACATTTGTTTAAAGTAAACTATATAATACAATATACTTGATCATTTATATTTTTCCTGAGATTTGTTGCCTTCTTGCGGACAACCAGATTCTGTCAAGACAATTTCCTTATGTCAGCCCCTGCTGAAAGTCAGAATTTTATTTAGTTTTGAAACATCTGTGTTATTATCCATCCATCCATTTTCTTTACCCACTTATTCCATTTTGGGTCACGGGGGTCGCTGGTGCCCATGTCCAGCAATCACTGTGCGACGGGCGGGGTACACCCTAGATGGGTCGCAAGTCCATCACAGGGCCACACAGAGACAAACGAGACAAACAACCATTCACTCTCTCACTCACACCTAGGGACAATTTAGAGTTACCAATCAGCCTAACATGCATGTTTTTGGACTGTGGGAGGAAACCAGAGTACCCGGAGAAAACCCACGCATGCACGGAGAGAACATGCAAACTCCACCCAGAAAGGCCCCTGGACCGGAGTTTGAACCAGGGACCTGCTTGCTGAGAGGCAGCAGCTCTACCAGTTGCGCCACCGTGCTGCCCACATCTGTGTTATTATATTTTGCAAAATGTAAATGTCAAGAGAAAAAAAATTGTTTTTCCCATCAGGTGCACATGTGATGACTGCAGTCTGTCCCACATTCTAACATGTGGAATCATGGACTCTCCCATTGCTGAGGACCTCCACGTCAAGCAGCCTTTGCAGGGGGAGCCCCCTCGGGACTACCTACCAGAGGTGCACCCCCCCAGTCTGTCCTCAGGTAGTTCAGCGTCTGGTTCAAACTCCAGTTCTCCCATTACAATCCAGCAGCATCCAAGGCTCATTTTGTCTGAAGGGGAAGTCAGCACTTTGTAAGTCAGCTACTCACCTTCTGTGTGCACACATTCTAAACTGTATCATAAACTCAGTTTTATTTTGAAATTACCGTTCCCTTTAACCTGATCCCTCATTTCTCTCCTGATAGTATCAGTGATTACGAAGAAGTGCCTGTATTCTCCAGTAAGTTTGGGAACATTTACCCTTTAAACAGTTACGAAGACAACAGCGTTGTGACAGCTTCTGTGAACGGACTTCATAATAACATCAACGGAAAGGGTGGAAATATGACACTGAAGGGAGGGGTGAGTTATCAGCTTTAGAAAATTGCCCAAAGATTACTGTAGTTGTGAATTTCCCTGCTGAGTCTCTAGATGATGAAATCGATGCACGTGTGTTAGTAGGTGACTGGTAGTTAGGGAAATGCACAGCACTCCACCCATTTCCTAAGTCAACCTTTTTTTGTTTTTGTTCTACTTTTGTTCTGGCCCAGTCTCCTCACATTACCAGCAGCAGTAGTTCATCAGAGGGTGACGAAGAGGAAGCTAATGGGGAGGCCAGTGGGGAGCCCCCTGGGAAGCAGGAAGAGCTTTCCCTGGGAAAGACCAACAGCCCTCCACCCTCTTATAACCACCAACAGGTATTAAAACACTATGAGTAAAGTTTCTTTGGCCCATGAGCTCAGAGTAATTTAAAGGAATAATTCAGGTACTTTGCGATGGGGCTCTGTGGAAGGGTTATGAACAAATATCAACAATATAGCTCTTTGAGCAAACTCATCTTGGAGAAATGGATTGATTTTGATCAAATTGACAAGTTTATGACCAGTACAAGAGGGACCAATAACAAAGTAGATTAAAACCAAATCAAAACAGCTTTATTCTAAAAAAAAAAAAAAGTAATATTTAGTTGTTGTGAGGGACCAAGCCAGTCAAGCATGAGGACACAGTAGTAGGTTTTCAAATGAAATGGGTTTTATTCCCCAAAATAACAAAATGCAAACTAATTTGTTACAGGGCCCTTAAGAGGTCAAATGAAGAAAAACCAGACTCAAGCCAAAATCATGGATTAACCTAACAAACTCTCAAACTAACTGCTCAAGACAAAATAAACTGACCTGTTACACAACAACAAAGGGGACTTAAATATCTGGCTGCTCAGACCAGACTAACACACTTGGAAAGAGGGAAAAGAAACATCCACTCACAAATTTAACAAACAACTAAACACAAACCGTTAGCTTAAGAATTAACTTAAAAAGCTAATGACTAAACATAAGATTAACTAAAGAAACGATCACAAATCAAAAGCACTTATACAAGAATTAGAATAAAAGAGACTTCATGGTTCTCTTCCACCACCCACACACACACACCCATGGTGGAGCTCCACGTATCAACCGATCAGTCAATCTGGGATTAGAGTGTGCCAGTCAGAGTCCATGGTTCAAAGGAGAGAGCGAAACCAACACATTAAGTTTGACAGAATCAAATATTGTCAAACAAATAAAAATATCAACAAAGCTTATACACATACACCTACATGTAGTGTGCTGCAATGTGTGGAATATATACTGGTATGTACACAATTTTGTTCCACCACATGTACCACATGTGGTGTGTATGATGAATAAATCTAATTGAATCCTTAATTGCACCGAAATTGATGGTAATTTTCAAAGAGGGGTGCCACCTAGCTAGGTATATCATAATTTTGCTGAAATCTGTATTATGAAATAAACTGGTGCAAAGGTAAAACATTGTTCGTCGTGACATTTTTAAAATCAATGTCTTAATTACACAGCAGAAATCCACTGTGTCCGTGACCTTTCTCAAACTTGCTGTTAGCTTGTCAATTCTGGTCAGAAATAACTCACTTCCCCAGAAATATTTTTTCCCTCAAAGAGCTGTCTACAACTTATAATTGTTCCACAGAACCCCACTTCCAAAAATTTGAGCTATCCTTGTAGTTTTGTCGTTGTCCTTGGTGATTGTGGTAGTGAATGCAAGGCTTTAGTGTTTTTGTGGTTTAGCACTCCATATTTGTTGAAACTATTACTCTCTTACACTGTATATGAAAGTTAAACAAAACTGTCAAAGATTAAGTAGTTTGCTTTGGATTATACCTTCAGGTAGAACAAGTCCAGCATGCCTGCGAGTGCCATGTGTGCAACCAGGACGCCAGCTCCTCCACCCTGGGCCCTGCCACATGTCTGCCCCCCAGTGGGCTTCATGCTGTGCCTCCCCCTGTTGTTGGACACCAGTTCTTCACAGACACCAAGGCTCCCCCTGCACACCCTGCCTTTCACCTCTACCCACACATTCACGGTCACCTGCCCTTGCACAACTTCTCCCGTCCCCTGCTCCACCCAACACTCTACCCACCCAGCCCTCCTCTCACACACAACAAGGTGAGGAGGATTCGGACTTGTAAATGGTTTTCTTCCTAAATAGCACTGGTGTAAAATATAAACTAGAAGAGTTACTTTAAAGGGAGTTAAATTATTTTCTTTATCAGTGGGGAATTTGTTTAATGTTCCAGAAACAAAGCTAAGCTTGGGTGTACAGTAGTCCCTTGTTTATCGCCCCCACGTTGCTCTCTGCCAGCGCTCTCAGCCACGCCCACTTCTCCGCTGCAGGAGGAAGCTTCTCCTGCAGCTGTGGATTTAAAATGTATTTAAAATAAAAATTCCATGCCATTTGTGCAGCTCATCCATCAATCAGCCAATAGAGTGTGTCATGTCCAATCTTACTTTGAAAAACCGCTATGGAGCGAGTCCGCAAAAAACGAACTGCGAAGTAGCGAGGGACTACTGTATTCTAGTTTCACTTGCTGTCATTGTAAGTTCTTTGTCTGCCACAAGGGGACAGCCTGAACCTCTTTTTAGGAAAATCCAAAGGCAACTCAAATTTTAATGCTCAAACCTGTTACTGTAATCCCTTCATTTTTTTCCCCTTTAGCCTCTGTCCCTGAACCCTACATCAAACCACTCAGCGGCCAAGCAGCCGGCTCTCAGCTCACCGTTGCCAGATCATGCGTACCAGAACTGCTGTGGTGGTACAAGTGAAGCAAGTGACTGTAATAGCTCACTGCAGTGCCTCTCTCTAAAGTTTGAAAATCTGTGGGATGCTGTAGTGATGAAGAGCTTGAATTCCTCTATGTTGTTGCCCGAATGCCTGCCAGGTGAGCCACCTGGCTACAGTAGAAGACAATTATCTCAATATGTCAACACTAGTTAAATAATCCATTTCCTTTTATTTATGTAATAATCAACAGGTGACATGCTTGGACCACCTCTCCCTGATGTGCCCCTCCCCCCAACATCCTCCACTGGCTCCCAGTTAGAGCACAATTCGCTGTCCATGCCTCTATCCACATCCTCCTCCTCATCGTTGTCATCCTCTTTATCGTCATCGTCATCAACATGCTCCTCTTCAGAAGCCAAAGAGCCGAAGAAGACTGGCGCCAAGAAAAAGTGTCTCTACAATTTTCAGGATGCCTTCTTAGAGACCAACCGTGTAGTGATGGCCACCTCCGCTGCTACATCATCCGTGTCCTGCACCGCCACCACTGTCCAGTCAAGTAATAACCCACCCATCCACCTTGCATCTAAAAGACCCAACTCGATAGGTAATATAGGAAGTAGGAGTAGTGGTTAGGTTTGTACTGAAACTGAAGCTATTTTTTTTTTTTTTTTTTTTTTTGAGTTTTTGATCGCCACAGTTATTTCTTGTGTAGTTGCTTATTTTTAAACTTATTTTAAACTCATTAAAGTGAATTGTATACTTGAAGAATAACATTGCATGCTAATAGTTAATGGCCTGTCTTGGGCTCTATAATCATTCAATTATGAATATAAAGAAAGCCAGAGGCTTGTTTACCATGTTTCTGTTCAGTCTTATTGGTCTACAAAACAGTTACTGTTGGTAAATGTGGCCTTAAACTCAGCCAGTTCCAACCAAACAAATTGTCAATTAGACAAAGTGAAATCTTGTTTTAAGATTGTTTCATAATTATTTAATTCTACAGCACAAATTAATTCATTCACATCTTCACCCCGTTCAATAAATGAAGGAGTCACACACGTGTGTTTTATCTTAGAGTTCATGTTACTCTGACTGAGCTCTTAAACAGATGAATTTAGTTACCCAGTTACTGGGTCTGATCCTGTATATTCGTTCCCTCATAAATAAAAACAGGTTACATTTGTTATCATAAACATGATTTATGTCCTATGGAATGACAGCCATCCTGATGGAATATAACAAACTGCATACATCCGTCAGTCTTAATCTTGGACAAATGTAATTAGTTAATTTGGTGCATATAGCAGAATTGTCCTCTTTTCGGTGAAATCAAATGTAACAAAAAAAATAGTAATGGAATAGTAATTTCGTCAGACTGTTATAAAAGCGCATGTACAACTGTAGTCTTTTTTTATACCTCCATTAATCTGATTTTAACAGGTTGTACCCATCAACTCTGATACATTTTAATTTCAGAAATCTTTTTAAAGTTAATATATTTGTTTAACCTTTTTTGTGCAAATGTCAATTTAGTTCATTAAATTTTAGGCACTCCAACACTTTGTAAGTGGCAAACCTGTGAAGTGATGCCAGTTCTTCAGTACAAATACAAAATATTCAGTGATAGGTTTGTTGACTAAAGAGTGGATGGACTCTGTTTAAACTTTAGGTAGAAGTATAACATGGTCAGATATGCATTTATGATTGCCACACAGATTTTAGATTAATAAAGTCTAAACGTGCATCTTGTCTTGTCTAGATGATGTATTTCACAGTTTAGGTAAAGAGGACCACAGACAACCCACTTCAGCCGCCCCTAAAAATGGTTCCACGGGACTGACTTCTCTCCCGCTGCTCACGAGCCCTGCTTTACCCCCCGCACCCACTTCACACCTCCCCATAGCTGGTTCTCAGCCCTTTCCAAAGATGGCTGTTCAGGATCCAGACTTTGTGGAGGCTCATCAGGGTCTGTGCCTCCCACCTGCAGAACCTCCAGCCCCTTCAATGGATGGTCCTGCCAGCGCCCCACCTAGTGTCTGCAGGTAAATTCACTAACTTTGTCATATTTATGAGGAACATGGGCTTTGCTGTCATAATACAGAAGAATGAAAACTCCCAGAATTTATAGCAGGTTGATTTGAAACCTGATCTTTTGTCAGTGACCCCGACTGTGAAGGCCATCGCTGTGAAGGAAACGGGTCGTATGAGCCCCAGCCTTATGACGGAGAGGAGAGTCAAGATGAGGACAGCTGCTCCGAGCACAGCTCCTCCACCTCTACTTCAACCAATCAGAAGGAAGGAAAATACTGCGACTGCTGCTACTGCGAATTCTTTGGACACGGAGGGGTAAGATGTAATCATGCAAATTTTGATTGTTTTCAACAAAACGTTAAATATACCATATTTTCCGCCGTACACGTCGCACCGCCTTATTTTTTCATTTTTCATTTACTCTTTATTTATCCAGGTAGTCTCATTGAGCCACAAGAACTCATTTTCAAGAGAGACCTGTTTAGGGAGCAGATGGGCGTTAAGGACCTTGCTCATGGGCCCAGGGTGGAGCGAATGAGGGTGGGGGCAAGTGTAGGTGCTTCACCTACCCCACCCACATTTTTGATGTTGTCGGTACCGGGGCGTGAACCGGCGATCTTCTGATCACAGGCCCACCTTCTCTAACCTCTGCGCCACCACTCCCCCAGTTATAAGTTGCATCAGTCCAAATATGTCTAATAAAGTGGAAAAATCCATAAATAAGTCGCTTCGCCAAACACGTCGCATCTATTATGCGTCACCGCTGATGCATGGCGTTTGTTATGTGCCACCACTGACAACCCGAAAATGTGGGCCGGTGTTGTGCCAAAAATCGATTGGCTGCCAAATGGCAGCCGCAGGAGCGTGCACAGGAGGACTTAACAAGAATTTAACAAGATTAACACTTAAAAACAATTTGTTTGCTCAAAATTATAGTAAAGGTGTGTCTCAGTTGAACTTTTCCTTAATAAATGCACTTTGATAGTCAAATCAGCTGCATTTTCAAAAATATTTGCTGCCTCGGTGCTCCCGGGAGCGCGCTCTGAGGGAGTAAATCAGGAAGGAGGAACGCTGTGCAATTCTTCGAAATTTAACAAGATAAGCACCTAAAACAATTGTTTGTTTGCTCCATGTTGTAGCAAAGGTGCGTCTCAGTTGAACTTTTACTTAATAAATGCACTTTAATGATCAAATTAGCTGCATTTCGCCAGGGCGGCGCAGTGAAAATGAAACTGATTTGATGGTTGCTCCAGGCGAGCTGGGCAAAGGTGGCAGTCTTTGGCAAGCCGATTGTGTCATTAATAACCACTTTTACCTATTACATGTCACAACGGCATGCCATACTGCTCGAGTGCCATCTAGTGGCTGAAAATGGTAGTGTTCAATATTTTCAGTCAGAATGAATGAAAACGGTCATATGTCAGCCAAAATTTGGTTTATAAATATGGGAGAAAATCCATAAATATGTCGCTGCGGCATATAAGTCGCAGGGCATGCAAATTATGCAAAAAAAAGACTTATAGGGCGAAAAATATGGTAAACTGTTAGCTAAATTTATTTAAAGAATCTTACATTTTATTTCTGCTTTATTCTGTTTTTGTCTATAAGTAAAACCAACTTAAGCATGGAGTTTCCTTTTACGTAATAATTAATGTGCTTAATTCACTCTGACTGATGGTCTGTGTTGTATTTTCAGCCCCCAGCTGCTCCTACCAGTCGTAATTATGCAGAGATGCGAGAGAAGCTACGGTTGCGTTTGACAAAACGCAAGGAGGAACAACCGAAGCGCGAAGAGCAGCAGCCAGTGATCGAAAGAGATGTAGGGGTGGAGGACCACAGGCGGGTGGAGGACCTTTTGCAGTTTATTAACAGTGCTGACAATAAACCGTCTACCAGTTCCAAGGCAGCCAAACGAGCCAGGCATAAACAAAAGAAGGTAACCGATCAGTTTGGCACAGGAAGACACTTTGCACACGTCACAATTTATTTCTGTTTCAAAGAGATGCTCTTACTGATTATGAATGAATCTGTGTTTTTAGCTGGAAGAGAAGGCTCGTTTGGAGGCTGAGGCCCGTGAAAGGGAGGAGCAACAGTTGTTGGAAGAGCAACGACAGCGGCAGGAAGAGGAAGAGGCAGCACTTCAAAAGGAACTGCTACGGCTGCAGGAGCTGCAGCAGCATCGTGCTGCCAAGAAGAAAAAGAAGGAGAAAGCAAATGAAAACACAGCTCCCCCTCAAAACAACCCACAACCTCTCAAACAGACAGCTCAGAACGTCTTGGATAACCTTCACAATGGGAGGTCACGGCTGCTTCAAACACTTATTCGCCTCCCTGACCGGAGGGAACCCAAACTGAACCCCTTGTCCCAGCCCAACTCACAGCACAGCTCAACATACCCTGCTGCAAAGGCTGTTTCTAACGAGACCAACATCCCAAACACCACAGGTCCCCTCCACAATGGCACATCTCCCGTTGAAGTTAACAGTAAAGCTAAATCCAAGCAGTCAGGAAAGGTCGTTACGACCGAGCCTGCTGTAAAAATTGTCCCAGAGTTAGCGAAAAGCTCTGGGACAACAAAGACTTTTAATGGCATCGCTCCCACCACTTCAACAGATGCCAAATTATCACGAATCGGACATGCTGAGACCGCAGCTTCTCTCCCAGCCACTGAATTGTGCAGGGAAGAGAGAAGTAATACCAGATGTAGCAGTGAGAAAAGGCAGCAGCAACAACCCCTTACCCAAATAAAAGAAAACAGGACAAGCCCTCTTGTGTCAAACTCTTCTCCCTCTCCCCCCTCAACTTCTCAGACTGAGACCCAGCAGAATGGCAAACCCCCCGGTGCAGAATCACCACAGCCCAAGAGCAAGGCTAAGAAAAGCAAGAAAAAGAAGGGGGACAAGATGAACACATCTATAGGTAAGGTTAAGTTTCAATGAGGAAATGCTGATAGTGAAACGATAGATATTAAGAACGTTTGACTTAAAATCACCTGACTAAATTCAAGCTGAACTGGCTAACATTAAACCTGCTCTGTCTTTGGGAAGCCACAGTAAGGTTAGTGATTATTTCTGCTGTGCAGACTGCTGTTCTCATTTCTACTGACTGCTATCATCACGTACATTAAGCAGCTGGAGTAGAACAAAGGCAAAGAATTTCAACTTGAATTCAAGTAACATAAAAAAATGACAACTAAATGGTAACTATCCAACTTAATATATTTGATCTGTTTTATTCTTTTAGATGATGTATTCTTGCCCAAAGACATTGATCTAGATAGCACTGAAATGGATGAGACTGAGAGGGAGGTGGAGTATTTCAAAAGGTACGTATGTTAAGATGATGCTGATGAAATTTAAAAACATGCTTCCTCTCCCTGTTGACCTTAAATGTTACTAAAAGGATAGTCTGGTAAATTTTTGAAGTGATATTCTGTCAAATGCATAACAATATTTAGTACTTTAACAGCCATGACATCAGTCATTGAGGGTGCAAGTCTTCAACCAGGCTAGGTTAATGGATAACCAAAGGAGTGCAAGTTTTATATTGTTTTTCACGCTTATAAAACTTTCTCAAAAAGGACATACCAGTGTGAAAGAATGCTACATTAACTAAAAATAAGTGTTCTACACTTTCGCATGACACTGTTTTAGTTTATTGCTGTCTCCCAACAGAAAAACGTCTGTGTTGTTACGCAGATTCATTCAACCTTTATTTATACAGGTTAGTCTCACTGAGTCACAAGGACTCATTTTCAAGAAAGACTTGTTTTTAACTAAACCACAGATATGGTACACACAATCATAAAATGCATATAAAATGAAAAGTAAATTAAAAAATATTGATATAAAACAAAATAAAAACAAGCTACAATATGAAACGGTAAAATACTAAAAACAGGAACATGTCTGCATTGATTGCATTGAACTTAAAAATTGTTTATAATCCCTTAGAGTGGTTAAAGTCGACAGATCAGATCTTTTTGTAAGATATTCCAGGAAACAGGAGCAGAGTAGGGGAAGGCTCTTTTGCCTAATTCAGTCTGCACTGAGGGCACGCTGCAGGTAATAATGTCCTGAGAGCGCACGCTGTAGCTGCACTCACGCAGTGACATGTATGAGGAGACGTATGAAGGCAGCAGACCAAGAAGTGATTTAAAGATGAAAATGTACCAGTGTGAGAGTCTATGTGAAGTTAATGGTGACCAGTTAACCAGTGAATAGAGTGCAGTGATGGGTACGGTACTTGCAACCAGTTGTGAATCTTTGCGCACCGTGATAGACAGCATCCAACATCTGCAAGGTGCTTACAGGAGCATTCAGGTAAACCCAATGCATTGATCGCAATCTACCGGTCGATCGCAATGGCATAAAAAAAATAAACGTTTGCATCCTCACTATAATATTTGTAACTTGAATGACATACAGGGCAGCCAGTCTGAGGCCCACTACGTGAAACAGCAGTCTTTCTGCTGTTGTTCGGCCGTTCATTTACTCTACAACAGCCCTCATTACAGACCCCCCCCCCCCCCACACACACACACACAAGGAGGTGTGAAATGTTCCTCAAGTGTAAAGCTGTACATGTGTACTACAGGTGGCTGCTATCAGAAGTTTTTCTGCGCTAACAACAGTTATAATAAATGACGGGGAGCAGTGCTTTTGTGCTTCTCACCTTTTTCAGCATGTAGGAGCACAACTAATAAAATCCAGGGTCCAAAGAGACGTCTGTGGATTCATCAGTTTGGACATAACTGTGATCATGCAGACGCTGCATGCACAATGAATGCAGCTGAGCCCGACTTCAGGGTTGCCAGATAACTTTAAAAAGTCTTATTTAACCCCTCCTTTTCTGTGCACATGTTCAACAAACACAACACACCTCGCCTTAGAATATCTTTACTCAGCACATTTGACAGTTTAGGTCAAAATACTATCATTTTAAAGCGACAGTACTACAGTTAATAATTTCTTATCTGGCAACCTGATTGATATGGAAACTGTTTTTGTGTAAATCTGCTCTTTTTTTTGTTTGATACTGATACCCCCAATAAATATTGAAAAAACTTTTAACATTTCCAGAGGTTGTTCTCGTGTAAATCAGAGTCAGAGTTTTTTTGTCGTTCAACAACATGTGGTACATGTGGTGGAATGGAATTATGTACACAGAGTCCCAGTTACATCCAACAATAAAATGTAAAAGAAAAACAGTAATAAGATCTAAAATGTGAACTAAGAAAAACATCAACTAAAAATACGCTAAGCACTAATAGCATAAAAACATTACGGCGAACAGCAGCACGAACATGAGTCTGCGTGAGCAAATGAGCACGAATGAACACAGCAACATGAAACCGATCAGTCAAATGGGGCCTTATAGCAGGTAGATCACTTTGACTTGGTCATTTTAAAAGTAGCTCGCATGCTGAAAAAGTGTGGGCACTCCTGTTGTAAATAAAGTCACCGTAGTCAATGGGTGGAAGGAAAGTGGCAGTACAAGGCGTTTCCTAGCATTCAGAGTTAAAGAGCATGCGCCGAGCATACACCCATGGTGCTGAGAGTTCAGTGAACTCTGCTGATCAGGTGGACTGATTATATTCTGCAGCTTCAGCATACACAATCTGTGCTTACATCTGTGCTCCGCGCACACACATTCACATAATAACACAAGTGTTCAATTGAGAAAACAACAAACTGAAACTGTCACGCAAAAGTTTAGAGGTTTAATATTAGCCGGTGTGGTGTTCTTTTACATTGGCATGACGTTTTTGAGAAATTATGTGTGCGTGCATTCTACACTTGTCAAAGTTGAGATTTATTTCCCAATGTACGCATGTTGCACTTAGTTATAAAAACACACCAACAAATTACTGGTCCAAGTAGGTGGAGAATATAAACAGTTATTAATCATTTATTCATCAACTGAGCATATATACTGTATATACACTCACCAAAGAATTAAAAACACAGAAAAAAATTAAACTTCTTTCCAAGAATAATTATTATTGTAGTACTGTTGATGTGTTACGTAATATATCTTTTATTTTATGTTTGTCTCTTAGATTTTGCTTGGACTCTGCCCGTCAGACCCGTCAGCGCCTTTCTATCAACTGGTCGAACTTCAGCTTGAAGAAAGCTACATTCGCTGCACATTGAGGGCGTTGGCAACTATGGGAACACAAATCAGTACCTTAACAGCTATACAAACCCACCTCCAACCCCTCCATCCCTGTCCTGTGACATGCACCTCACACACTTCTTCTCCAGCTGTGCCCAGGTCACACCCACGCTGCCTTGCTTTGTCCTTGTCGCTGTGTGGTAACAACACACATCTGGACTGATCCACCTGCAGAAATCAATATTAAATATTATGGGGAAAAAAGAATCACAAAATTCTATTGGTCATTGATTAATTTCCTTTGCGTGCTCGTGTGCTTTTAGTCATAAGTTTCTTTTGACTGAACTAGCCATGGTCTGAAACTGTTTTCTCAAACTGGCTTTACCTGTAGTCAAAAGATGTTTTATCATGTCTGGATGGATTTCTTAAAAAAAAAATAATAATAATGGAAATAAGGAAATGAGAAATATCAGAAATTAAAGCTGTATTTGAGATACTGTGCTTACGATCCTATTGTTCCTAGCGTGACGTCTAGTCCAAATGATTGACAGAGGAATAAGCTTGGTCTACTGGTTTCCAACTCCCCTTCGCCCCCACCACCTCCACCCTGTTTCACAGAAAGAACGGAGGAAGCTGTAATACTTGACAATTGTCTCTTTGTTTTGTTTTTAAGTTCTGTTTAACAAACTGTTGAGTAAAAGTGTATCAGTTACAATTTATTTTGTTTTTCTTTATTTTTACATGTAGCCGACTTGTATCAGAATACATTCAGAATTGAAAAGAAGAATAGTGCTCACTATTGGTCTGTTATAGAGTGTATATTGTATTAACACTGAAGCCAAAGTGGCTACTTTTAACATATTGTTAAGTAATATTAAATCTTCTTTCTTTTTTGAAAGATGGAATACAGTAGTACGGCAGGCTTATGTGTCTTGTGTCACATCTTGTTTTCTGCACACAAAACTGTCAAATGGTAGTTAAAACATAAATAGTGCAGTTGTTCATGAAAGGCATGCTAGTAATTTGTTAGTTTTGAGAACTGATCTCATTTGTGTATGAATGCAGTTTTAGCGCAATGAAGGAAAACGGGGAAACTGCTAGCCTGGTTTTGTTCAAAGCTTATAAAATTTGCCATCTAGTTGTTAAGAGTTAGTTGGCTTGTATGTCAAACCACTTGTATTTACTGTATACTCTTCTTTAGAGCAGTAAAATGCATACAGATGGCTTTATTTGTACTATTGGTAGGATTTTTGTAGCCTCCACTGGTTTCTAGCTGCTAACTGGCTTTACATTTATTTCTAGTTGTATGAGAATAGTTTCCCACCATAGTTTGTTTTGTCTTCGTTAACGGCGAAACTTTAGGACTACAAATTAAATTCCCATTTTTTAGAAAGGGGGACTGAAGAGTTTTCCATCGTGGGATTACACTTCTTACCCTCCCTGGTGAAATTTGCTCCAGGGTATTGGAAGAGAGTCTCCAACCAATGGTCGACTCTGATTCAGGAGCAGCAGTGTGGCTTCAGACCAGATCTTCACCCTTGCAGAGCTGCTAAGGGGGTCATGGGGGTTTGCCTCCAATCTACATGTGTTCTGTGGACCTGGAAAAGGCTTATGAAAGTTCTCCAAAGCATTCTGTGGCGTGCGCTGCAGAAGAATGGGGTTCCATGGTTTAAGCGCTATCTGGTCCCCATGAAACTAAAGTAGGAGCTTTGTCCATTCTTGGCACAAAGTTGAGCTCGTTTTCAGCGCAGGTTGGACTCGGCTCATTCTGTCCTTCGTCTCCCGTTCATTTTGTGATGTTCATGAACATCATGTCATGGGGCAGCTGTGGAGAGGAGGGTGTCTGACTTGGGGGCCTCAAATTGAGAGGGTCTTGTCTCTGCTTTATGCAGATGTTCTCTTGGGGGTCAAAACCTGAAGTGTGCACTGGGGCGGTTTGCAGCCAACTGTGGAATGACTGGGATGAGAGTCAACACCTTTAAGTCCGAGGCTGTGGTTCTCGACTGGAAATTGGTGGAATGCCCCTGGATTTGAGGAAGTCTTTTCCTTAGGTGAAGGAGTTTAAGTATCTTGGGTGTCACGTCACTGTAATCAAATTACGTATGGGTATAAACGATTGACAGATTGTCTTGTTAATGGTAGGATGGAGCAGGAGATGGATGGAGCAGGAGATGGATCGCTGGATTGGGGCCTCATCCACAGTACTGAGGGCATTGCTCCGGTCTGTTGTGGTGTAGAAAAAGTTGACTCGAAAGGCAAAGCTCTCTATTTACTGGTCTGTCTATGTTCCAACCCTCTTCTATGATAATGATGTGTGGATCTCAATTGAAAGGACCAGATTCCGGATACAAGCAGCCTGAATGAGCTATAGAGAGTGATAAGGGTGAGGAGCTTCATCATCTCGGGGCACTCGGAATAGAGCCACTGCGCCTTTTCATCAAAGAGCCAGTTGAGATGGTCTTGGACACCTCCCTCTGGAGGTTCTTCAGGCACATCCCACCAGTAAGAGGCCTGGTGGCAGGCCAGAACTCTTTGGAGGGTTTGTGCCTGATAATGCCTTGGAGTCCCATAGGAGCAGGGGAGAGGGATATCTGGGTTTCTCTCGTGGACCTGTTCTCTCCATGACTCAACTACAGATAAGTGGTTAAAGATGGAGCATATTAAAAGTATAGCATATAAAAAGTTTAATACATGTTTGTGTTACAAACAGTGATGCTGCCACATTTTTTTTATAGGGAGGCCATGTAGGGGCAACTGAAAATCCTGAGGTGATGCACCAAAACCCAGAACAGTGTTTCAGAAAAATTATGTTATAGGTTATTTGACAATTTAAATAATTAACAATTATTGAGCCACATAAATCCGATCACATCTCTTTCAAGAGAGGCCTATACTGTAGGTCTGAAGGCAGCCTAAACTTTTGGTTTGTTGAAGTAAACTGGAGTACCCCGAGAAAACATAAGGAGAACATGCAAACTTCACACAGAAAGACCCCAGATACAACCTAAGACTTGAACCATGGACCTTTGTCCAACAACGTCTCCCCAGTCGACTCCTCGGAGGCAGCCATGGCCAAAGTGGTTCAAAACATCAAAGTTCATGCTCAGTAATCCAGGTAAAAAAAGCCAAAGTTAAGTCAGGTCCTCTGGATGGTTTCTTTTTTTTTCTGAAACATTTTGTCCTTCATCCAAAGGACTTCATCAGTGAGGAGCCACAACAAACTCAGTCCCACAAACAGGAAGGACCTTTGTGTTGTGAGACAACAATGCTATCCACCAACATATAGGACAAACATTTTTTAGGGGTGGCCATGGATACAAATAAAAGTCTTTGTGCTATTTGGTAAAACTTCTGAAATTGTTCGTTAGTGTGTTTTAAGTTTACAGGAAAGCTCACTTCTTGTTTTGAAAACCAAAACAAACCCACGTCCTTCCCTTTTTACTGAGTTATACAATGACCAGGTCAGCTACGGTAATTCAGTAAATGCAGCTAAACTAAGGGATTTAGATTTTCAGTTTGCTGGTCATTTTTACAACTTGCATGCATGAATTTAAAGCAATAGTTCAGATTTTTTTTAAAGTGGGGGTTCAGTCAAAACGTTGGAAAAAATGAATATTTTACGTACTTGTAGATAAATCATTAAACTATTTCAGTTTGGGGGAGTACGTTTTAGTTATGACCAGAATGACAAGCCTATAAACCAGAGCCATGACCAAAGTGGATGTCTTTGGTCTTAAAACATCTCCAGTCTGTAAAGTTTCTTAAGAGTGAATGTTGTTTTATAAACTTCTCCACAGTGGTTGATATCAGAGTACATGGTTATTCAGGTGGAAATGTTCCATCTCTGCCCAAAGTACCATGGTACTCTAAATCGTAAAGCTACAACTAAGTACTGCAGCTTGCAATAAAAAAAACATAATAAAATATATGTGAAACTGGAGTTGTATGAAGCAGAAATTCACTGTTGAATTGGCCCAACTCAAATTAACCATTTGCTCATTAACTAATAAACTCCTCCCCAACTTTTGTCATTCAAAGAGCAATCTGAAATCTTTTTAAAGAACCGCACTTCAACAGATCTGAACTATTAAAAATATAATTTAAAAGAGCTTGGTTAAAATTTTTATTGAACATTTTAGATAAAGAGAGTGAGATATAAACTGACCGTTTAGGGACATTTTGTCTTAAAGGTCCAGTTATTTCAGAAGTTTAGGCAGCCAAATGGATAATGAGGAAGAGGAAGCAGAGGGTTCTGATCATGCTTCCTCTTAACTTTTCCCTAAGAAAGCTTCTTAAAGCGGTGGGAATTCAATTTGACTTCTGACACAATGCATGTGCAAACTGCTGTAAATGTTCTTCAAACAATAGAAGATTTGGGGGTTGTGGGTGTGAGCAGATAGGAGTCATACATTATTTCAGGTATGAATGATAGTCTGGCTGCTTGTATGAGCAAATGTAAATTTATGAGCTCGCTCTCAGTCAGCGCTGATGTAATATCGGATCTACCACATTTAGGCAAATGCCCCAGCAAAAGTACGCAAATGTATCGACCGTTCAAAAGCACCCAGGAAAATGTACGAGACAGAAATGTAGGACATGCTCAAGACGAAACATGAAAATGGAACACGTTTGTTTTTGACATATGCAGAGCCCCTGTTAGTCAGTGCTCGAATTAGACAAAGGTTCACAGGTTTACAAGAAAAATAAGTTTTATGACGCATATTTCCAACTTGTCATCAAAATTCAATTCAATTCAAAAATACTTTATTAATCCCAGAGGGAAGTTAAATGTTGTAACTCATCATCCTGGATTCATTAAAGACTTGAGTTGTTAGAGCTGTTCTGACATTATGTCACTTTGAGTTCACTACATTAACAAAGAAAAGCAAAAAAAAAAAGTGCTCATAGATCAGTCTAACAATGAACAGGGATAAGTATTTGTGTTTTATAGGTTCAAAAGGATCAGAGCTGCCTTGTAGCATGTAATCAGTACTCTGTTCTTTTCATTATTAACTGCCTGCACCCTTAGGATACTGTTGTTTTAAAGAGGGAATCCCCTTCTTTCTAAATGGCTAAAATCTGCCTCAGTGTTGTTTTGATAGTTTAAAGTCTTTTCCTTACCAAGAAGCCCGGAGAGAGAAAAAAACAAGTAATATTAAAGCTGGTTACAACAGTCAATAAACACTGAATTTAAAATGATCTGCTCAGGTCGACAACAATCCATTTCAAATAAACCTGTCTGTTCTGTGGGAATTCCCACCCCAACGGGGGGAAATTCCCATTCTTTTAGAATACACAAAAGATTAAAGGTTGTATGCATCCATTCTGTATTTGCCTGGATAAGTGTCGGGCTGAAGTTTTCCCTATCTGCCTAAGTATATGACAGCTACATCTGTACATCCTGACGCTTTGAAACCAGTTTCTCACAGGAACTGATCTACCGCCGTAACCTTTCTTATTAATCATTTATTTCTTAGAAAAGTTCCAGATACTCAGGTGGGGACTTGTGACCTATTTTTTCCACTCTGAGATTGGTGGGTAGAAAGCTTGTGTCTGTTTTAGACCCTGTTGTAATGTGTGGGTGTGAGCTGGCGGGTGGGGGGGGGAGAATCCC